TCGTGTGGGTGGCAACCACTCGATGTGTCCCTTTCACATCGATGTTTCTCTCTCTCCCTCCCTCCCACCCTATCTGAACAAAATATTGAAAAATGTCCTCGGGTGAGGATTTAAAAAAAAAAAAAAAAAAGATGACACTCTAACAACTGAGCTACCCAGCCAGGGACTCACCAGTGGCTTTTCCTAACCTCCACTCTGCATCTTCCTTCTGCCTCCTAACAGCTTCTCCTCTGTTCCCCTTCCGCCTTTCCTCTCTTCCCCCTCCACCCCCTTTGGCCTGGGGACTGAGGATGCGAGTTGTGTCTGGACAGATGGGAAAATTTTCCTCAGTGGAGATGGGACCCTTAAGGGGAGGGCAAGTGCTTGAGGTGCCGGGAACAGTCTGTACCAAGGCATGGAGTGGGCTGGCTCCTGTGGAGAATTTCCCAGCCTGCCTCGCCTCACCTGTCCCTAGGGTCTGTGGCCAGTGACGCCCCTGGAGTAGAACGCTGCTCCTCACCATTCCTGTCCCACCCCAGGACCCCCTGCCCCATTGTGATGCTGCTTCCTGGCCACCAGTGGAATCCAGAGGTTCTGCTGCCCATGGTCTGGCTGGGCCTGGCGTGTGGTTAGGTGGGCCCTCGCTTTGGTTCGTGTTTCTGTCTCTAGGGAGGAGCAGGGAGGGTGTGGAGGTTGGCAGTTGTGATGGCACCTGACAATCGGGACTGTATTCTCCGCACAGATGTGGACAGGAGCCTGCGAGGATCCATTCACCGGTGGGGAGTCTGTGGAAGGAGCAGACTGCCCTCACGGGAAGCGTGAGTTCGGGGTGGCGTGGGCCGTTTCCTGCCTCCGGGAGAGCCAGCGCTGCTCGGCTCTGGGCTTCTTTTCCAGGTCTCCGTTGCCTCTTTTGTACATTGAGATCCAGTCACATGGGTCCACCTGGCCAGGGACCTGTGGGATCAATAGAGGGAGCAGGACCTTGCAGATTGTCAGACCCCTGCGGGTATTCAGATGATGCTGGGGGTTGGGGGTGCATGAAGGGAACCCTGCAGGGCAAGGCGGGTCCAACTGGCTGCAGGACTGACAGCCCTGCAAATCCCTGTGAGGAGAGCGGAGGTTCCCTCCCTCCCTCCCTGGGAAGTCTCCACCCACCTCCCCCTCCAACCTTACACGCGGATACACTGTATCAGTTTCCTGTTGCTGCTGTAACAAATTACCACAAATTTAGTGGCTCCGAAACAACACAATTTATTACGTCACAGTTCTGGAGGTCAGAAGTCCAAACTGGGTCTCACTGGGCTGAAGTCAGGGTGTCAGGGCTGTGTTCCTTTCTGGTGCCCCTAAGGGAGAATTCATTTTCTCACCTTTCCCAGCTTCTGGAGGCTGCGGTGCTCCTGGCCCCACCCTTGTCCATTGCCCTCAGCTCTGTGGGGGTGGGGCTTGGGGCTGGTGCCCCTGCTTCTCCACATCCTCACCAACACTGGTTGCCTCCTGTCCGTCTTGTGTCTTGTTTTTTAAAGTGATAGCTGTCCTAAGGGGCGTCTTGCACATATTTTGTTAAATGTGTCCCTTGTTCATATTTTCTGAATATTATAAATGGTGTCTTTTAAAAATTTCCGTTTTTAAAAATCTTTTTATTTTGAAATAATCATAGAGTGACAAAAACGTTGCAAAAATAGTCTAATAGTCCCTCCTTAACTGCAGGGGACATATCCCAAGACCCCCGGTGGATGCCTGACACCAGGAATCGTACTGCTCTCTGTATAGGCTATGTTTTTCCTATACAAACATACATAAAGTTTATGGTATACAAACTTTGGTATATCCAAATTGCCAGCATCACTATTCTTGTGCTTTGGGGCCATTACTAAGTAAAATAAGGATCACTTAAACACACACACTTCAACACCAGTCGATCTGATAACCAAATGGCTACTCAGTGACTAATGAGCAGGTAGCCTATGCAACCGGGGTACTCCAGACAAAGGGGTGAGTCACCAGGCAAGACGGAGCTGTTCAGCGTGACGTTTATCATGCTATTCAGAATGGCATGTAATTTAAAACTGAAGAATTGTTTATTTCTGGAATTTTCCATTTTATATTTTTTTGGACCCTAGTTGACCGCAGGTAACTGAAACCAGGGAAAGCGAAACCATGGAAAAGGAGCGACTGCTGGACACAGAATTCCCATTCATTCTTCCCTCCTCTTCCCCCAATGTTAGTGTCTCACTTAACCATAGTACAGCGATCTAAACGGGGAAATTAACACTGATGCAATAATATTAACTAATTTACGAATCTTATTTGAATTTGGCATATCGTCCCGCTAACGTTCGTTTCCAGACCGGGGGTCCAGTGTGGGATCCCACGCGTGTCTTCTTCGTCTCCTTCAACCTGGAGACATCCCTTAGGCTTCATCTTTCATGCTTGGACACATTTGAAAAGTGTAAATAAGCCAGTTATTTTGTAGAATGTCCCTAAATTTGTTTGGTGTCATCTCATGACTGTTAACATTATGCATTTGGGGCAAGAATGCCCCAGAAGTGATGACGTCTTAGTGCAGGACGTCAAGGGGACATGAGGTCAACACGGCCCATTACTGGTGATTTTAACTTTCATTTGATTGACGTGGTGTCTGCCAAGGTCCTTTATTATAAAGTTACTATTTTCCCCTTTGTAATTGATGAGTATCTTGTGGGAAAGTACTTTGAGACTGTACAAATATGTTTCTCCTATTTTCTTAAAAAAAAATTTTTCTTTATTGATTTTTAGAGAGAGACGAAGGGAGAGAGAACATTGATTGGCTGCCTCCTGCCCCCCACTGGGGATCGTGCCCACAACCTGGGCATGTGCCCTGACTGGGAATCTAACCAGTGACCTCTTGGTGCATGGGTTGACACTCAACCACTGAGCCACACTGGCCAGCTATTTCTCCTATTTTCATCCTATTTCCTTCCTTTCTTTCTTTCTTTCTTTCTTTCTTTCTTTCTTTCTTTCTTTCTTTCTTTCTTTCGTTAGATAGTCCTCACTCGAAGATATTTTTCCATTGATTTTTTTTAGATAGAGTAGAAGGGCGGGGGGGGGGGAGAGAAAGAGAGAGAGAGAGAGAGAGAGAGAGAGAAACATCAACGTGAGAGAGACACATCGATTGGTTTCCTCCTGCATGACCCCAACCAGAGCCAGAGATTGAACCCGCAACCCAGGAACATGCCCTTGATCAGGAGTCGAACCCAAGACCCTTTGGTCCACAGGCCAGTGCTCCAGCTGCTGAGCCAAACCAGCCAGGGCTCCTTCTCTCTTTATGAGTTATAATTTTACAGTAAGGAAGAGCGGTCCCTTTATCCTGTTTGTATAGTCAGTAACTTATTTATATCAGCACGACTCAGCTATATTTGTTCTATGGGTTATCTATTACTATCATGATTTATTTTGTTGCCATAACTGTCCCAGATTTGGTCACTGGGAACTCCTTCTGTTTGACTTCTGTGTCCTTTTGACACGCCCCTGTCATTTTGGGGACACTTCCTTACTTTCTGGCACCATAAGATGTTCCATTCTCATCTTGTATGTTCCTGGCTCCAACCCTCGAATCCACCACTCCTCCAAAGACCCTACTTCTTTTACTTAGAAACCAAGATCTGAGTACTAGGTATGATCATTGCCTTTTTTTTTTTATCCTCACCCAAAAACATTTTTCCATTTTTTGTTCAGATAGAGTGGGAGGGAGAGAGAGGGAGAGAGAGAGAGAGAGAGAAACATCGACGTGGAAGGGACACTTCGAGTGGCTGCCACCCACACGACCAACCAGGGCCGGGGACAAACTGCAACTGAGGTATGTGCCCTTAGCAGGAACCGAACTCAGGTCTCTCTGGACGCAGGCTGATGCTCTAACTGCTGAGCCAAACTGGCCAGGGTGTGATCATTGCTTTTAAAGTGGGATTGCTTTTAGTCTGTCTCTGTGGACAGAGAGAGAAAATATATCAACAACACGTTATCTATATCGATATAAAATCAGGAGTTCAGTCCAAATGTATTGTTTCTTATTTCTATTGACTCAGAATGGCTTGCCTTCTCTTTGGTTGATAATCTTTGTTTTGAGTTCTTTGCTTGATCTTAATCTGTAAGAGCCTTGCAGCCTGAATGTGCAGAAATATTCCTTCAGAGCAGGCTTGCTTCTGGTGGTAGCCAAGGGATGCCCAACCCAGGACCTCTTCAGTCTTGCTGAGGGTTTCGGCTCAAAACTGAGTTTAAAGTCCCCCATCTGCGGCTGCTCCAAGGTGTCAAACTTACAGACACCATCGCTGCCCTCCCCCTCCCCCGCCTGCCTCCGCTTTGACTCTGTGCTGCCTTGTGTCATCCTACTATTTTGGGGTCTCACCGCACCAGCCCTGGCTCCCCACCTCCATGGCCAAAGCTTCCAGCCACCCACCTTGGCCTTAGGTCTTGGGCACTCTCCATCCTTTATTTATTGATTGATTTTAGAGGGAGAGGAAGGGAGAGAAAAAGAGAGATAAAAACACCGATGAGAGAGAATATCGATTGCCGGCCTCCTGCATGCCCCCCACTGGGGATCAGGCTCACAACCTGGGCATGTGCCCTGACCAGGAATGGAACCAGTAACCTGTTGGTGCATGGGTTGACACCCAACCACTGAGCCACACCAGCCAGGCACGGTTTGTTTGTTTTTTTAAATAACGTTCCCTGGAGAACTCTCCTTTTGCAAGACTGGTAGTGCCTTGGTGTGTGTGTAAACCAAGTTTCAGTTGTGAGGAAGTTGGAGGAGAACTCAGGCCTGAGTACTGCATTTTCTAAAACATTAAACAATAGGGGGGGGTGGGCCGATGGGGGACACATGATGTTCATTCAGCTGCAGAGGAGGGAACTACAGAGAGCATCCGGGCTGGAATCCACCTTGTTCCAAGCCAGAGAGGCCAATTCCCAGTCTGTGGCCCCCGCGCCAGCCCCTGGTGTCTGGGCAGCGGCCAGCCAGGACTGAGCTGCACCCTTTCTTTGAACAGATGGCAAGAGAAGGCAACTTCAAGACAGAGCCCCACTCCCAGCCTCCTTCCAGTAGCTCCAACCAGCAGGAGGCAGGAGAACACCTGCGCTCCTGGTCTCTGGAGAAGTTGTTACGCAAGTTGAAGGCCACTGAAACCGATCTGGATGACAAGTTTACCAGTATCTTGAACTCGCTGGGGCACTTTGGCACGTTCCAGCAGAAGCTGGTGGCCCTCACCTTGCTCCCCAACTTACTGTCGGCCTTCTTCATGTTTGCCGACATATTCGTGTTCACAGTCCCAAAGCCCTATTGCAACACCAGCTGGATCCTGGCAGTGGGCCCTAACCTGACAGAGGCTGAGCAGCTGAATCTCACCCTGCCCCGGGATACCAACGGCAGTTTCCTGACATGCCTCATGTATGTGCCTGTCACCTGGGATCTGGATGACATCATCCAGTTTGGCCTCAACTACACACAGTCGTGCAGCAATGGGTGGATCTATCCTGAGAGCAAGAGGCGATCGGTGATCAATGAGGTGTGCCTTGTCCTGAGTCATCTGTAGCTACTTCATGGGCTCAGAGATGCGCCCTCACCCTCATCAAATAAGTGGGGAAACTGAGGCTCAGGGACGGGAAGCAATTGGCCCAAGGTCACCCTGCAGAGGAAGGACCAGGACAGAAAAATGTAGGATTCCTGCTGCCCGGCCCTGGCCTCGCCTGTCTTAGCCAGGAAGCTAGAATGGATTTGGGGGGAGGGGCAGAGGGCACACGGCAGGGTTTGCCATCTGTCCAGGGAATTGCTTCTATAATTGTGGCTCTGCCCTCTGAACTCAAGAAGGGAGTTGAAGAAAAAGGTGGCTTTGATCAGGTACGGGTTCCAGGGCTTCTCAGTCAAAGCTGCAACCCAGACCCTTCACAGCACGGACCTCCCAATCGGATTCTCTAGGCCAGGGCTCAGCATCTGTATTTGGGGAAGGGTCTTTGGTGATGCCGGCCTTCACTAAGCGACCGCTCCACCTGCCCCACCGTGGCCTGCGCCCTGGTCCCTCTCTTCAGGCCTGACGCCCAGAGTGTGCTGGGTGAGGACCGAAGGCAGCGGGAACAGAGCTGAGGCTGCCCCCTGCCCCTGTCTCAGGCCCCTTCTGCCTGAGGGCCCAGCCTGGGAGGAGGCTCGGGCTCTGGAGCCAGAGGCTGGCCCCGGGCGGGGCCTGCGGCCGACCCCTGCGTGCAATCCCCAGTTTGACCTGGTGTGTGGCGAGGAGCTGAACAGGGAAGCTGTGCACACCACGATCCTGGCCGGCCTGCTGATCGGGTCCCTCACCTTCGGGTTCATAAGTGACAAGTGAGTCTCCCACGGTTTCTTCTGGTCCCTGGGCTGCCCCTGCCTCCTCCTCATGGGCACCCAGAGTTGAGGAGTCTCCGGCTGGGGGAGACGAGGGGAGGGGCCATCTGGAGGCCGGTGGGTGGCTGGGGATCTGGCCCCCAGTCGGCCTGCGGAGGCCCGTGGGCTCGGCGCAGCCCCCCTTCGATGCCCTCAGGCTCGGCCGCTACACCTCCATCCTGCTGTCGATCTTGGGACTGATGATCTTCGGCTTTGGGACGGCCTTTGTCGGCAACCTAAACCAGTACCTGTTCTTCCGCTTCGGGGTGTCCCAGGCGCTGGTGGGCTTCAGCATCAACAGTGTATCTTTAGGTGAGGCCAGGCTGCTCAGGGTGAAGAGGGGGAGCATGGGGAGGTGGAGGATGGGGTGCGTGGGGGTGGGGTGCACAAGCCTGCAGAACAGAGTTGCAACCCAATCGCGCTGGCAGTGGAGGAAAGAACCCCCACTTCAGGCTGCCTGGAGGTGCAGAGAATCTGTGCTCAGACAGCCTTCCGTTCCCACCCTTCCTCCTCACCGCCTCGCACCCGCCTTCCCCTCACGCCCCTGGATGCTCCACGTGGCTTGTGTGTGGTGAGCCCTGAGGACAGCCGAGCGAGCTGCCCATCCTTTGTGTGTATTGCCAACACTATTCGGGGGGCCCTGTTCTGGTCGCCCTTGAGCCTCAGGAAGTGAACCGACTTGCTGGGGGTCACACACAGTGCGGTGAAGGAGCGGGGATCTCCCCGGGGCGGTGTGATGGGAAAGCCCGAGCTGCCGCCTCCTGGAGTGCCCACGGTTCCCTGGCAGGAGGCTCTCGCCGAAGGCCGGCCAGAGGATCCGGGTCTTCCACAGGCTAGACCTGAGCACGAGGCAGAGAGCAAAGACCAGGGCAGTGATTCCTGGTCGCACCGCGAGGCGGCCGCGGGGTGGTGTGCCCAGAGCCAGGCCTTCCAGTGAGGCGTGTCGTCAGGCAGAAGGTGTGCAGAGGGACAGCCAGGCTGAGGGGGACCAGAGGCTACATATGCGATTGGGAGGTCAGGCAAGGCGCCGAGGGTGTGCCTGCCTCGGAAGGTCGTCTCTGGACCTAGGGCAGATCAGTCCGAACTGTCCCAAGCATGGCTGGGGCATCTCAGACGGCTGGTGCAGGGGCAGCCCCGGGGACCCTGAGCTGACTATGATTTTGTCCTCTTGGCCTCTGCACAGCCTCTGAGTGGCTAGTGGGTGAGCACCGGGCCCACGCCATCATCCTGGGACAGTGCTTTTACCCTTTGGGGATCATGCTCCTGACAGCGCTGGCCTACAGCGTTCCCCACTGGCGGCTGCTGTTTCTGCTGGGCGGGTCGCTTGTGTTCTCCCTCATCTTCTACATCTGGTGAGTGAAGGGATACAGGGCGTGCCCGGGCAGGTCCCATGGGCTCGAGACTGAGCGCTGTGAAGGGTCCTTGAAGGGCTGGAGAGGGTGGAGTGTTCCCTGAGGATGGGATGAGAGAGAGCCGGGGGCAGAACCTCTGGAACCCCAGCATTAGGCCCCCTCAGAGGAGACCCTTAAAGATACGGTAGAGAGGTGGTCAGAAAATCAGAAGGCAGAGTGTCGGAAGGCAAGAGTCAAGGACCAGGAATGGCCAGGGTTGAAGGCAAAAAAGAGGCTAGTTAAGTGTTGGCCTGGATGACCCTGAGGTAGCTTCTGTGGAGTGGTGGGGAGCTGAGGAGAGGGGGGCCTGGGAGATGGAGCATCGGGGAGATGACTGTCATGCTGCGGGGCTGAAATCCCAGCTCTGTGAGTGGGGCTGTAACAGAGGGCGTGGGCATGGAAGACAATGCCGCCGTCTGCCTGGGCAGGTGGGGAGGACCCCGGCACAGAAAGTAGAGTGCGTGCCCTGGCTGGCGCGTTCAGTGGTTAGAGTGTCGGCTTGCACGATGAAGGGTCAAGGGCATGTATCTGGGTGTCAAGTTTGATCCCCGGCCCTGGTCAGGGTGCTTGTGGGAGGCAACCAATCAATGTATCTCTCTCGCATCAATGTTTCCCACCCTTCCCCCTCTTCTACTCTCCCTACAAAAAATCAATGGGAAAAATATGCTCAGGTGAAGATTCACAAGTGCAAGAAAGCAGAGAGCCCTGAGGGGTGGCTGAGGGGAAAGAAGTGTTGGGTAGAGGCAGTGAGTGGCCAGGGTGGTCCCCAGCAGCAGTGGGCCTGTGTGTGGCTCGGGCAGGGGAAGGGATGACTTCCAGGGAGGGATGGAGGACATCTCGAGGTTGATGGTCACCTTCAAGACCTCCAACATCTGAATGACCTCATGCTGGAACAGGATGGCCACCGCTGAGGCAGGGGCGGGGCCCACTTGGGTCTCTGGGGCACCTTAGCGTGGTGGCTAAGGGAGGTTGTGCCGTGCAGTATTCTCCCCGAGTCCCCTCGGTGGCTGATGATGAAGGGGCAGGTGGAGGAGGCCAAGCGGGTGCTGTGCTTTGCCGCCAGAGAGAACAAGAAGAACATTCCTTTGAGTCTGCTGGGCAAGGTAGGAGGCCTTGGGCCCAGAGCGGAGTGGGGCAGGGGTGTGGAAGGGCCTCTTCTCTCATCCTTTCAGGGGATCTCGGCCCAGAGGGTGTCCCTGGCCCACTGCTGGAGGGGAACAGTGACAGCACAGTCAAATCCTGTCAAGGGAAAGCCAGAGACCAGGCTGGCACCATGGGGGGGGGGGGGCGGGGGGCCTTGTGGGTCCTGCAGGGGTGGGAGCATGGTGGGTCTCTGCCCTGCCTCTGGATGGTCATGTTTGTCCTGTAGCTACACGCACCTGGAAAGAAGGCGACGAAGGCCTCAGTCCTGGACTTCTACAACAACAGGCAACTGCGCAAGGTGATCTTGGCGATAGGCTGTGTGGGGTGAGTCCCCAGGGCTGGCCAGCAGGGACTGCAAACAGAGGTGTGTGCCTGGAACTCTGGAGAGGGAGTGGGGCGTGGCCTGGCTGCAAGGGAGCAAGGCCCAGGGGGGCGACGCCTGAGGGCCCCGCCTTGGCCCACAGATTCCAGATCTGTGTTTATTTCTCTCTCCCATTCCCACCCTGCCCCCCTCTCCTCTGTCTTCACCTAGCCCATCTGTATGTGTGTGTGTGTGTGTGTGAGTGTGTGTCCCTCTCCTTCTCGCCAGTGTTTCTCTTCTGGCTTCATTCCAGGTTCACTGCTGGTCACAGCTATTTCACACTGAGCTTAAAGATGAGGGATTTTGACATGAACCTCTACATCAGCCAGATGGTTTCTGCCATGATGGAGCTGCCCGCCCGGCTTGGCAGCATCTTCCTCTTTGAGCAGTTCGGGAGGAAGTGGACCCTGGCCGTCATTCTCTTACAAGGCACCTTCATGAACTTTCTCGTCCTTAATTTCCCCTCAGGTACAGCCTCCCCACCTCCATGCCTTCTGACAACACCCCCCTCACCCCCGTGCCTCCTGCCCCGTCCTGTCAACAAGCCACCCTGGGAGTCAGGCTCCTGCACCCACAGTCCACCTTCCCTGCAGAGGCCCCGGCGCCTCCGGAGCAGGCACCCATCGCCAGAGCACTGCCCTCCTGGGGAAGGGGTCCCCAAGACCAGCTGCTCACAGTCTCAGAGGCCTGGCGAGCTGTTCGGAGGAATCGTCTCTGTGTGGGTGGGAAAGTGGACAGCCTTCTTCTGCCTAGTTTCAACCCATGTCAGATCTGGTGGCTAAATGTGAACAGATGTAGCCCTGGCCAGTGTGACTCGGTTGGTTGGGCATTGGTGGAGTGTTGTCTGTGCACCAAAAGGTTGCTGGTTCGATTCCCGGTCAGGGCACATGCCCGAGTTGTGGGCTTGATCCCACAAGGAGCATGCAGGAGGCAGCCAATCGATGTTTTTCTCATCAATGTCTCTCTCTCTCTCCCGTCCCCTCTCTAAAAATCAATAATTTTTTAAAAAGTGAACAGATGCAACAAAAGTAACCCTTCAACCTCTACCCCAGGCCCTGCCTCTCATCTAGAATACCTCTGGTTGTGAAGTGCCTGTTAGCTGTAACTTCACAGGAAAACAGAACCTGTCCACTAAAATCAGAGTGTTCGTGCATGAGGGTCTCTCCTTCCCCAGGGGCACAGCATCCGGGTGCCCTGTGGGCTCAGAACTAAAGGAGGAAAGTTGGGGGGCAGGAAGCTGGCAATATTTTCAAAGAGCCCCCAGGTCACCTCACAGGGCTAGAGAGTGACAGGGCTGAGGATGTGGACAGTACAATGTCAGTGTGCACCTAGTCAGAATTACCACCCACGAGAACCCCCTCAGCTGCTCCCTCTCTTTCTCTGGGGACTGGAATTGTGAGTGTCTGGACTGGGTGGGACCTTTCTTCTCCCAGATGTTGGCAGTGTGGACCAGCTAAAACAAAATGGGGACATACATTCATTATTCAATTTTGGTGGGGGTTTTTTAAAAGAGGGTCTATAGCCCTGGCCGGTTTGGCTCAGCGGTTAGAACATCGGCCTGCGGTCCGGAGACACCCGGGTTCAGTTCCCGCTAAGGGCACATAACTCGGTTGCAGTTTGTCCCCCGCTCTGGTTGGTTGTGTGGGTGGCGACCACTCGATGTGTCCCTTTCACGTCGATGTTTCTTTCTCTCTCTGTTCCTCTCTCTTCCTCCCACACTACCTGAACAAAAAATGGAAAAATGTCCTCGGGTGAGGATGATAAAAATAAAAAGAAAAGAAAAGAAAATAGGGTCTATAATGAGTCAAGCAGAAATGTTAAAACTCTCAAATGTGTAAGAGGAATGAGGACTAGAACCCCCACTAGATAAAACTCTCTCTCTGATTTCATCCCAGGGCCGAGCAAAGCTGGGCCCCCGTGGGGAGTGGGACTGGGGCAGGGGCCTGCAGAGGCCCCCTGGGGCCCCGGCTCCTGCTGCCCACGCCTGCAGCAGGGCTCCTCCTGCTTCCTTCCTTCCTCCCCCTCGCTGCAGGTGCCTCTGCGTGAGGATGTGGGAGACAGGAGACCCTCGGGAGGCCCAGGAGTGGGGCGGAGTCCGGCAAAGTAGCCGGTCTCCTGAGAGGCCCCGGGGGTCCCAGTGGGACCTCCCACCCCGCCGGTCAACTCTCCCACTCCTGATGGGGGCTCAGCCGACTGACCCTCCTCTGACCCAATGCTCGAGTCAGCTGGCCACGCGGTGGGAGTGGACAGCTGGGCTGCCTTCTGAGAGGGATGCAGGGAGAGCTGATGACAGACCTGGCCCTACGGGAGGATGACCCCAAACTCGGGTGGTCATGTTGTCTGCCTACAGATCTGAAATCCGTCGTGGTCTTGATGGTCTTTGTTGGACGATTCAGCCTGAGTGCCTGGATCGCCGGGTTCTTCACCTACACTGCCGAGCTCCTCCCCACTGTCCTCAGGTATGAGCCTGGTGAGGGGCGACGGGGTGGGAGGTGGGACAGTACAAGATGAATAGCAGCAGCTAAGGCTGAGCATTCTTCCGGCGACAGGCAGCGTGCAGAAGTTCCCACGGATTATTCCATCTACCCTCACACACAAAATCTCCCAAACGCCACCATTAGCCCTACTTCAGACCATGAAATCAGAGCGGTACAGGCACCGGCCCAAGGTCAGGCAGCAGCGGGCGGAACTAGCACCGGCCCCGGGCAGTCTGACCAGGTGCTGACTGGGCCACTCTGAGGCTCAAGCCCTTTACCACGGGGACCTCGCTGGTGGCAACAATGTCCTCCTCCCCCTTCTCCCCGCATACCCCTCAGAGCCGTGTGAGTCTTCCCTCTCCCACTGCTGACCCAGAGAAACGACGACCTCCTCTGAGTCACTGGAGAACTACGTTCTCCAGGGTCACGCTGAGTTAGGACAGGTGGGAGCCCGGAGGTGTGGAGTTCGGGGGGGCTGCTGCTTCCACTCTCCCAGCCTCTGGGCCGGCCAGGCCCCAGACAAGCTTTGACCTTTCCTTCCAGGACGACAGGCCTGGGGCTGGGGATTCTGGCCTGGGCATCCGGAGCCATCTTGTCCATCACACTCATCAACCAGAGCCTCACGCCCTTATCCAGTTCTCTCTGCCTCATCTCAACCATCTGTTCCTTGTCCCTGTGCTACATGCTCCCGGAAACATATGGTCAGCCCCTCGTCGACAGTCTGGAGCACTATTGCCTGCACCCGAGGTAGGTGTGCGAGGCCCCTGGGCTCTGGCCGGCACAGGGCCTGGTTCTCAAGCTCTTGGCATTGAGAATACGTCAAGTGCTGTCCAACTGTGCCTTTGCCCAAGGGGCCTGTGACACAAGACACGAGCCACTGTGTCCATAGCAGCCTCCCAGCTCTCCTGGTGCTGCCACCCCACTGCCCAGCCCAGCCTCTGCTGCCCTCTCTGCCCAGCTCTTCTGACCCAGCCGGGGCCAGGCCCTCTGCTTGGTGTGCCTGCTGGCTGCAGTCTGGCCTGGAATGCTGTTTGACAGACGCCCTGGCTCCCTGCCCTCCCGGGGCAAAGGGCCTGGGTGAGGTCAGCTCTCTGAGGACTTCTTTCCTCTCGGACCCAGTCACGATTCAGGGCTCTGGCCTCTTGGCCTCAGCAGCCCAGGACCCTGTTTAAGAACGAGGCTCTACCCCAACCCCACTGTGGGCACCACCGGCCTCTCCTAAGTGCCCACTGGAGAAGACTTGTCGTGATTGGCAGGACCATCACTTCTGGGATTTGGGTCAACAGAGTGCATCAGTCTCTTTCTGGACTTGAGGGGACTTGAGCAAAAATGTGGGGCAGAGGCAGCCTGAGGTCCTCCAGGGCCCTCCACTCATACTACAGAGGTCATTGCTCCGGCCTTCTCCTGCCTTCTTCCCCACCATTCTCCCCCTCCCCTCCTTCCTCAAACTCTCATTGGCACCACCAGGGTTAGACCGTCAGCAGTGAGAGCAAGTCATGGTTTTGGGGAAGACAAATATGCAAACAGTTCTCACTAGCGGGCTCTGACATTGGGATGTAGGACCTATCGGAGCCCCAGGAGAGAGGAACTTGCATTTCTGGAGCTGGGGCAGGCTTCACAGAGGAAGTGACATTTGAGTTGGGCTTTGCAGGGTGAGTAGGCATTTGCCGTTGCAGAAAGGGGCAGTGCCGTGCAGCAGAGTAACAGTACAGAAATTCAGAAGCCAGGCTGCGGGGCCAGAGGACCTGGAGTTCTGTCTCTGCCACTGCTTCCTACTTGTGCACAGGGAAATGCCTCTGAGCGTCTTCATTTGCAAGATGCAAAGAGAACATGGTAATAACAACAGCTAACAGGTATTGCACATTTATTACGTCTTAGGTCCTGCTCTATACATGCCTTTTCATACTTTGTCCTAACCACAACGACATGCATGGTAGGTCCTGTCACTATCCCCATTTTGCAGATGAGGAAACTGAGGCACAGACAGGTTAAAAACACGTAGTCTAACATCTGTCATACATTCCACAGTAAAAATAAGTTTTAAAAAGAAAACAACAACAACGTGTAGCCTCGCCTTCCTCTCTCTCGGTTTTTGGGAGGATTCAACCCACATAAAGCTTGGCACCGTGTCTCACATGTGGCAAGTGCCCAGTAAATGCCAGTAGTGAGGAGAGCGGGCAGAACCCCCAAAGATGCAGAAGACTGAAGGGTCTGGCTGGAGCCCGGAGATGGAAGTGGCCTGATGCTAGAGGCAAGGGTCCATCACAGGCTCCTGACCTGCAGGTGTGGGAAAGCCCACCTCTCAGGGAGCAGAGCCAGTCATGGCTGAAGCTGCCTTAGAGTTACTGCTTTTTTTTAGCTCCAAAAATTACTGCTCCTGACTTGTTCTCCAATGGCTTGTTCAGGACCATGAGTGATGATTTGGATGACGATTTGACAGCTGATCATGCGTTATGTGATGTGACCACAGAAGTGGCAAAGAACACCATTCTCAACGTCACGATGAATTTGAACCCGCGCCCTCTTAACAACACGTCTTTGAAGGCTGAAGAAAAGTTCAAAGGCAGACGGGTTACTGAGGGCCCCAGGTGATCTCGGGGGGAGTGAGTGGCTGGGTATGGGGCTGTGGATTCCAGACCACAAATTCAGGCCAAGTTCAGCTTATGGGGCAGGGCCAGTTCTGCTCCGAGGTCAGCCCTCAAGATCTAAAATGACTCCTGGGGGAGCTAAAGTGTGATTAATTCTAATAAAGGTACCATGTTGGACTTGAGTTGTCTAGGTCGACACTGGCTTTGTCCGGAGAGCCCAGAGCCCCAGGCGTGGAGGACAGTGGGTCAGTCCAACTTATCCAGAGTCCTTCATGTCTTCAGCTCATCCTCGAGGACAGCAAGGAGCTCCCTGAGGGGGTGGGGGTGTCTGTGAGGGTCAGGAGCGGGCAAGGGGAGGACTGTGCCCCTACACTGCCCACACGGCCTAGCTCAGGCATCTGCTGGTGGGGTGGGCTTCCCTCTCCAGAGCAGACTGGGCATATTTCGGCCCGCGTAGGTGTCCAGGCAGGCCTAGGAGGGGAAGGAAGTGAGAATTCCCATCTGTGCTGTGGCCCAGGGCTTTCTCACTCCATTTTTCCTTTGACACTCACAAATAAGCATGGCCTTGGGGATTACTCATCCCAGCCTCCTCCTTGGGGGTGCCTACCCTGATGGCTCCAGCTTGGCTGACCTCTGACCTCCACCACCCCTAGAATAAGCCCCAGATCCCAGCTCACAACCCCAGCTGCCCGGAGGGTGAGTCTGCCCTTCCCAGCCTGCGGGGGGCTCCCCAGCAGAGCTCAGGATTCCTCACCCATTAGCCAGGTGGAAAGCTTTGGGTCAGGCCCTGGGTTCCACCTCTTCCCGCCCTGGAGGTGGGATTCCGGAGGGCGAGGCTTGGCTCATCCCCTCCCCTCTCTGCTGGTTTATTGGAAGATTATCAATTTGCGAGGGAGGAGCTAACTCCCAGGAGCCTCCGAGAGGACAGAAAAGAACGTCTGTCCTCATGGAGCAAGGGCAGGGAGGCTCTGGTCTCCTGGGCAGGACAGGACTGTGGAGTGACAGAGGCGGCTTCCGGCACTGTCCCAAGCAACTGTTCTGTGCGTGCTCCCAAACGGCAAATGCGAGAAGCTGGTGCCCTCGCCTTCCCCTCTCAGGGTCATTTTCTGGTCCCTCTGTGTCCCAAGTGTCCCAGGAGTACCCATTCAAAGGGGTCTTGCAAAGTGTCCGATCAGAGGATGATAGGATGCTTTCTGGACCGCCCTTGCTTTTCTGGGGGACTTCTCTGTGAGCTGTGATGGCCAACATATTAGTCACGTTTAAACACCTTGCCCCAAATTACTTTGCTGGAAGGATTCAGCCAGCGCCGCAAGGAACAGGAGGAGGAGATGGGTTGGGACCGAAAACTGATAGAGTAGTGTCCCTGTGAGGGGGCTGGAGGCCACGGGACGTGGCTTTTGGCAAGACCTAGCGCACCTCTACGGGACTCAGATTTCCCTTAGGTGGTCAGGATTTGTCCATCAGTTCCAGGTAGGACCTACCTAGCTTGTTACCTAATCAATGGCTAATATTACCTGGAATTTGACATTATATATTTTATTTATTGATGCACTTATTTTTTGGTTTATAAACAACAGAAATTTATTTCTCACAGTTCGGGAGGCTAGTGGCCCAAGATCCAGGTGCCACCTGAGTGAGAACCCTCTTCCTGATTCATAGCCAGGACCTTCTTGCCGTGACCTCACATTGCAGAAGGGGTGACATGATCTACTTGAACGGGCTAGACCCGTGCTGTCCCGTACAGTGGCCAACAGTCAGATACAGCTGCTGAGGGCCTGACATGCAGACAGTCGGAATTGTGGTGTGCTGGCAGTGTAGGGAACATTGGATTTCAACAGTAGTACAACAACAAAACGTGGACGATCTTGTCAGCATTTTTATATTAATTATATGTGAAAATGATAACATTTGGGATATATTGAGTTAATAGTATATTAACATTAATTGCACCTGTGTGTTTGTGTGTGGTTTTTTTTAACTTTTTAAGATGGGACTGGCAGAAAATTTAAAGCTACCCGTGTGCCTTGCATGTGTGGCCCACATTATGTCTACTAGACAGCACTAGCCTAGAACCTTCCTTTTATTAGTCTCACACATCATTTATATCACACTGGTTTCTTAGTGTAATATTGGAAGGGAAATGTCAAAATTACACAAAGTTACACTTAATAAATTCTCCCACAGGCCCTGGCCGGGTAGCTCAGTTGGTTAGAGCGTCGTCCTGAGACGCCAAGGTTGCAGGTTTGGTACCTGGTCAGGAATGAACTAATGAATGCATAAATAGGTGGAACAACAAAGCGATGTTTCTCTCTCTCTCCTTTCCTCCCTCCCTTCCTCTGTCTCTTTAGAATCAATGAAAAATAATTTCTTTTCAGTCTTTAATAAAAACATTTAAGAATATGCACTTATCTCTGATTAGATTCCAAAGATTCTGATAAGGATGTTTTCATTCTCCTGCTTCCTAAATAGTACGCTGTATTTTGATTTCCTCTTCGACCCCTGATTACTTAAGAGATTGGTTTAAAAGTCCTAAGCACTTGAGATTCCCCTTATTATTGCTGCTTTGTTGGCTGGTTTTCTTTTCCTTTTAGTCCAGAAGTTACAAGTTCAGCAATTCAGAGTTAACTAAAATGCAGAAGTCACCCCCTAACCACCAATTTCTAAATCCTGCTCCCACAGTCGGTTGTTAATAACTCGGAGTATGACTTTCCAGACATTTTTTTCGTGTATGCAGAGCTACTGGGCTTAATTACCTGCCTCAAAGGCTCACGTAGTGAGGGAAGACGGGCGCCAGGGAGGGGTGCAGTACAACCAGAGACATGGAAGACATCACGCCATTTAATTTTCCTAAAATCGAATTTGTTTCTGAGGTGAGTACAAAGACTTGCACAGCAGAAGTTTTCACACCTGGTAAAAAGAAGCACTTTCCTCCACCGAGCCCCCTTTTTTTTTATTCTCACCCGAGGACATTCCCCCCCCTCCCCGATATTTTGTTCAGATAGAGTGGGAGGGAGAGAGAGAGAGAAACATCGATGTGAAGGGACACATCGAGTGGCTGCCACCCACATGACCCAACCAGGGCTGGGGACAAACTGCAGCCGAGGTACATGCCCTTAGCGGGAACTGAACCCGGGTCTCTCTGGACCGCAGGCCAATGTTCTAACCGCTGAGTCAAACTGGCCACCAAGCCCTTTGGAATCTGTTTTGCTGAAACATCAAAGTCCATCAAACTTTTCTAAACACAAAGTCAGCTTTAAAAAATCTTAACCTCAGCCCTGGCCGGTTTGGCTCAGCAGTTAGAGCGTCGGCCTGCGGTCCAGAGAGACCCGGGTCCGGTTCCTGCTAAGGGCACGTACCTCGGTTGCGGTTTGTCCCCAGCCCTGAATGGGTTGAGCGGGTGGCAACTGCTCGATGTGTCCCTTTCACATTGATGTTTCTCTCTCTCTCTCTCCCTCCCACTCTACCTGAACAAAAAGAAAATGGAAAAATGTCCTCGGGTGAGGATTAAAAAAGAAAATCTTGCCCTGGCCAGTTTGGCTCAGCGGTTAGAGCGTCGGCCTGCGGTCCTGAGAGACCCGGGTTCGGTTCCCGCTAAGGGCACGTACCTCGGTTGCAGTTTGTCCCCGGCCCTGGTCGGTTGTGCGGGTGGCAGCCACTCGATGTGTCCCTTCACATCGATGTTTCTCTCTCTCTGTTCCTCTCTCTCTCTCTCCCACTCTACCTGAACAAAAAATGGAAAAATGTCCTCGGGTGAGGATAAAAAAAAAAAAAAAAAATCTTAACCTCAGTTGCATGAGTTATTTATTTAACTGGAGGCAGAACCCACCTTTCACCCTCAAACTTGGACAAACAAATCTGTGTAATGTTGGCCCTGGGGCCTATAATTCAGAGCATTTATTTTCAACTAATATCACCTTCCCACTGACCTGTCAAAGAATTTGTACGACCTTTGAGATAGAATAGACAGAGAGATTATTTAATTTCTCACATATCCCAAGATGAAATCTTTTATAAAATTTCAGACAGATATGTCTAATAAATTAGTGAACCTGAATTATAATCGATTTGTCTACTTCATTTCCTAATTTCTGATTAAAAAAATTTTTTTTATTGATTTTAGAGAGAGAGGAAGGAGAGAAAGAGAAATATTGACTTGTTGTTCTACTTATTTATGCATTCATTGGTGATTCTTTTTTTTTTTTTTTTGTGGTACGTGTTCCCTAGAGGGAACTGAACTCGGGACTCTGGTCCGCAGGCCAATGCTCAACCGCTGAGCCAAACTGGCCAGAGCGATTGGTTGATTCTTGTATGTCCCTGGCTGGGGATCAAACCCGCAACCTTAGTATATCGGGACGATACTCTAACCAACTGAACTACCTGGCCAGGGCCCTGATGGTTTTTGATTCAGGGATTTTTATCTTTGTCTTAGAAGTGCAAGGGATAGGAATTAAAGCTACCAATATACTTCTAACTTTTCACTCTTAAAACCACTCATTTAGAAAACCACTCATTTAGAAAACTATATAGAAGCCTGAGATCCACCCACGTGTCTCATAGGGAGCCCACACAGTAAAATGTGGGGTCGATACCACTGAACACAATAGAGCAATCAGATACATCCAATTAGATCAGAGGGTCCCCAATTTTTTTTACTTCATGGCACCCTTAGAATTTCAACAATTTTTTCACGGTACTCCTAGCAGAAATGGTTAACAGTTCTCTTTATGAAGTAGTTCGATCCAAACTTGGTTGCTGTTTGAAGAAAATAATACACAGAAGTTGGAGGAGCAAATATTTCATTTTATTTTTAATCAGAACCCCTTTCTAAGGGGAAATGTGTGCCCGCTGGGCACTGTGACTTCTCCGATGCTGGGACCAGGCTGGATGCTCCCATCCGTACTGTTTCGCCTTGATTTCCCTGCAGGGCTTGTTTCTCAGCACAACTGCTGAGCACACAGCTTGGTGAAGATACAGTGTTAAGGTACAGAGAGGGGTGTAGCACAATCTGATGCTGGGCTGTGAGCTACCTCAAGTCAGCCGTTCACGTGATGTCTGACATGTTGAGTATCATCACTGTGTTTTCTTCGAAAAGTAAAAATATCCCGCATCACCCCTATAGGTTCCCTGCAGTTTCTCAGGCACTCGGTTTGGGAACCACAGAATTAGATATACATATAACAATATAAACACACCGTAAAAACAGTGCTAAATAGCCCTGGCCGGTGTGGCTCGGCTGGGCGTCACCCCATGCATGGAAAGGTTGCCAGTTCAATTCTCAGGGCATGTGCCCAGGTTGTGGGCTCCATCCCTGGGTTGGGGCATGCATGAGGCAGCCAATCGATGTTTCATTCTCACATGGATGTTTCTCTCCCTCTCTCTTCCTCTCTCTCTAAAAATCAATTTAAGAAACAACACAGTGCTAAATAAATAAAAAAGTACTTAAGAACCGTGGCCTATGGGGTGCCAGGGAGTCTGCTCTTGGAGGGTTTTAATGACTTACCTGCTAAACTGGGGACAGTTTTCCATGCAGCATTTGACCCTGTTGAGCATCACCTCCCAGGAAGGTTCTTCCATTGACTTCCACCACGCCCCTCCCTCATGGTCTCTTCCTACACTTTTGACTTGTCCTTTGCACTTCCCTCTGGGGGTCTCCAGCTGTCCCACTCTAAGTCTTTTCTGCACAATCTAGGCCAGTCCCATTGGGAGCTGCTGGTAATTCCTACACCATTGTCTTCAGCCCAGGACTCTTTCCTGAGCTGGAGGCCAATATCCAGCTGCTTGTTCATCATCTCCACTCAGACATCCACAGGCACCACAAACCCACCATGTCCTGACTACACTCACCATCTCCCCCAAACCTGCTTCTCTGCCCATGTTTCCTAACTCAGAGAACAGAGCCACCCCATCTGGTAGTGGCTTGTGGTAGGCTGCACTGGTGGCCACAGTTCTTCACCCCTCCCTGTGTCACACCCTTGCCATGGCCTCATTCCTACCACTGGACTTTGGGGGCCAGAGGAGTTTGGTCGGTCGCAGAGAGGCAGAGCGCAGGTGCTATTTCCAAGCCTAGACCTTCAGAGGCCTTCCATGGTTTCCCTCACCTTCTTATGCTCTGCTGCTTTATGAGAGGGACATGCTGGGAGTACTCTGCTGGTCCCAGGAAGAGAAAGATGAGAGACGTGGGGAGCACAGCTCCTCCCACTGATCCTAGCCCAGATGAGCTCACCTCTGCTGACCTGCTGACAGGTGAGGAACAGTAAAAGATTATTGTTTTAGCCCTGGCCACTTTGGCTCAGCAAGTAGAGCATCGGCCCACAGACCAAAAGGTCACAGGTTTGATTCCAGTCAAGGGCACATACCTAGGTTGTGGGTTTGATCCCCAGCCCTGGTCGGGGTCGTGTGGAGGTAACCAATTGATGTGTCTCTCTCACATCGATGATTTTCTCTCTCTCCCTCCCTCCCTTCCACTCTCTCTAAAAAATCAATGGAAAAAATAACCTCAGGTAAAGATTAGCAGCAAAAAAAAGGATTATTGTTTTAGCCACCAAGTTTGGGTGTTTTTTATGCATCAACAGTTAACCAACTAGGTCACCTAAACCAGAAAATTGGACATTACCTTTGACTTCTCCCTCTCTCAATCCGCAAAGTCCCCAAAGCCTCCTAAATATCTCTTGAGTCCATCTACTTCTCTCCATCCTTAGCATCTCTGCCCTAGGTCAGGCCTCCTGTACCCACATTCAAGCCAATTTTCCCTTCCTCCCTTTTGCCCCCATTCTCAAGGTAGAATGCTTGAGTGCTTTTCCTAGTATGCAAATCGGATCACATGACTCCTCTTCTATCTTTGCCCATTTAGAACCTAGCTAAGGGAAGGAGCCTTGCTGGAGAGTGTGGACATAAGAAACATCCCAACCAAGGGTTCCCAGAATCCTGCTGCTGCTGCGTGCCCCTTTTCAGGACATCGGCTAGGAAGACAACATGAGAGGCACTGACCATGTGGAATCGAGATGTCTGTCTTCATTCCTTGCTAATGGGTCAGATCACAGATGTGTAGTATCTGTATATAAGCAAATGGGCTTTCAGACTTCCGGTCTTCTCTGTGGCTGCGGTGAAAGGGCTGTTCTATCAAGAGAAAGGTCGCGTCGCCAGAATGGCAGAGGTGCCAGAGCCCAGGTGAAAGTTACCCTGAGCAAGACAAGGCCTCCCTGGGAGGCAGCTTGAGAAAGAGCCAGTGGCCTTGGCCTTCATGAGACATTTGTATATTGCCACGGGCCTTCTCACAAGGCTGCCCAGCAAATTGTCTTGTTTAGTGGTTAACCGTGGATTCTGGAGTCAAACTAACTGGCTCTGGGCCCAGCTCTGCTGTTGATCTTGGGACCCGGGGCCAAGAGGAGGATCTGGGCTCCAGGCAATTCAGCAAGAGAGAGGCAGGTAACTAGGGCACTGCCTGCCTGCCTCAGGAGCTCTGGGGGGCTGGCAAGCTCCTGGAGGAGCACCTCACCCAGGTGCAAGTTGGCAGGGCTTTGAGAAGTCAGTCCTAGGAAGAGAAGGATGGAATGAGGGGAGGGGAAGGTGTCCTCAGGTCCAGGAAGAAAGGGACTGGGTCTACTCGTGGTTCTCATTCCCCCTTCACCAGGTCTGGCCATCAACACAGCTCACCGCGGGACCAAATGAGCCCCTCTGTGGGGCATCAGGCGCTCTGGGTTAAGTACAGAGGTGTGGGCTGTGGTGCATGAGGAACCACTCAGGTTGCCTGCGTCAGGACAGGGCCTGCTGGAGCTCACTGCTTCCAGCCCCAGGGACCACTTTCCTGTGACCCCCAAATCACCACCCTAAGTGGACAGCTCTTGCAGACCCGGAGGTGCCCAGGCCGAGGGCCCCCAGAGGGACAGGCCGGAACAGGCTACCTGGAAGTTGGATGGGGAGGGCTCCGGCTGCACAGAGCGCTCAGCGCCCTTGCACAGGTTCAGTTCGGGTCGAAGGGCCCGGCCTCGGCCCGACGAGCGCGTGTGCCCCCGCCGCCCGGCAGGCGGCGCCAGAGCACAAGCCGGCCCGTGACTCGGTCGGAGCCCGCGGGCGGGGCGAGGGGCGGGCCCTGCGTCCCTGGGCGTTAGAGCGCGGCGGTCACGCCGCTGGAAGGACGGGCCGCCGACCCTCCGCCATGGCCGAGCCGGCCGCTCCTCGCTGCTGCCTCGGCTGGGACTTCAGCACGCAGCAGGTACTGCCGGGCCGGGTGCGGGCGGGCTGCTGGGCGCTCGGGGCGGGCGCACCTCTCCCGGACTTCTCGGGGACCCTGCACCCTTGCCCAGCGTAGCCTTGCCAGTGCCGCCCACTCGTGAGCCGCGACAGCGATCGGACCGACCCCACCCCGGAAACGGGTCCTCCCCCGACCCCACCCCGGCAGGGTCCTGGGGCACGTGGCAGGGACGTGCCCCGAGGGGCCCGGGACTCGGCCACCCCCCCCCCCCAAGGCCGTCAGCTGCTGTAAGACGGGGAACACACAGCCCGGTAGATGAACGCACAGGCTTCATCAGTGACCTGGAACCAGATCGCCGCTTGAAACTGTTTTTGGTGAAATGGGCACAGTGTACACTGAACTTTGTACCATCCTTGGTTGGCAGCAGCGTGCTGGGTTCACCGTGCCCAGCACTGCTGGCCAGAGGACGGGCTGTGCTGCTCCCAGGACCCTGAAGACAGGCAGGCAGGCAAAATTTGCCTTAAAACTGGGCAGGAGTGCCAAGGTACTCTCCGTTCACTTGCCAAGTCAGCATAACTGTAGTCACTCCCGTCTTAGCTGGACCGGGGAGGCAGGCCAGCTGTGACCAGAAAGTCCTGTGGGACCCTGGACATGTCAGGGTGCCTTGCCAGACCTCAGTTTCCCCATCTGTCTTAGGAAAGGAATTGTACCCCTGGGTTTGGGAGTCTGCTGCATTGGGACGCTCTGTGTCTCTGGACCATGGCTATTGCCTACCGGCACAGCCCAGGGGCCTTGCCTGGTCTCTCAGATCCCTGCAGACGTGGTCCTCAAGAGACATCTCCAAACTTTAGCCTGGCTATTCCTTCGCCCCTAGGGCTTTCTCAGGCCTCCTTGCCAGGTGCAGGAATCGGCTCATCTACGAACATCTGTTTCTAGGGAGCCTTGACTTTGGCTGTCTGGTGGGTAGAGATCCTTTGAGCTACATGGGTGTTTCAACTGAGTCTCAGGTTCTTCATTGTACTAAATCTTTTGGGTATGTCCCTAGATGTGCCTCTGTTGTCATAGCTACGATGATGCACCCCAGCTGTCCGGGAGGTTTCCAGGTTGAACCACTCACTTCTAGGGTGCTGGGCTTCACCTGATGCTGTTTGTCCCCTGGACCAGTGCAGAGGCAGAGGAAAATTCTATACACCATCTTTTCAAATGCCTTCCAGGTGAAAGTTGTTGCTGTTGATGCAGACCTGAATGTCTCCTATGAGGACAGTGTGCACTTTGACAGAGACCTTCCAGAATTTGGGTATGTGCCTAGTGTACATGTTTCTGTGTGTGCGTGTGGCGGGGTGGGGGTTGGGGATCTTTCTTTTTCTTTCTTTTTTTTTTAATCCTCACCTGAGGACACTTTTGCATTCATCCTCAGATAGAGTGAGAGGGAGAGAGGGAGAGAGGGAGAGAGGGAGGAAGAGAGAGAGAGAAACATCGATGTGAGAGAGACACATCAACTGGCTGCCTTCTGCACAACCCCAACCAGGGCCGGGGACAAACTGCAACCAAGGTATGTGCCCTTGACTAGAATCGAACCCGAGACTCATTGGTCCTCAGGCCGCCGCTCTAACCACTGAGCCAAACTGACCAGGGCTATTGCATCTAGAATTTGAGTCATACTTTAAAAAGCTTTCCTCACTCAAGACTAGGAAGGAATTTACCAGTTTCCATCTAGTGCTGATAAGATTTCAGTTTTCCTGTATAAAAATATTTGGAGTTTTGCCCTGGCCGATTTGGCTTAGTGGTAAGAGCATTGGCCCATGGACGGGTTTGATTTCCTCTAAGGGCATGTACCCCGGTTGCAGTTTGTCCCCAGCCCCGGTTGGGGTCGTGTGGATGGCAGCCAGTCGATGTATCTCTCTCACATCAATGTTTCTCTCTCTCTCTTCTTCTCTCTCTCCCTCCTGCTCTACCTGAAGATAAAATGCAAAAATGTCCTTGAGTGAGGATTAAAATATATATATTTGGAGTTTATTTAGGTACATGGCATAATTTATATATTAATTTAATTTTTCCCAGATGACTCTGCAGTGGTTTTAACAGAATTTTTTAGAAGCCCATCTTTACCTCACTGATTTGAGTCACCAGTGTATTATACACTACACTTCTGTGTATGTTTAGGTCTATTCCTAGCATTTTCTTTTGCTCTATTGGTTGGTGTGTCTGTTCATGAGCCAGTAACACATCATTTTAATTATTCCAGCTTTAGAATAGGATTTGATATCTGGAATTGTTGGCCCCCTCTGATTGTTCTTCTTTTTCAGTTTCCATGGCTACTCTTTTTTTTTTTATCCTCACCCGAGGACATTTTTGCATTCATCCTCAGGTAGAGCGGGAGGGAGAGAGGGAGGAAGAGAGAGAGAGAGAGAAACATCGACATGAGAGACACATCGACTGGTTGCCACCCACACAACCCCAACCAGGGCCGGGGACAAACTGCAACCGAGGTGCGTGCCCTTAGTGGGAACCGAACCCAACACTCTCTGGTCCGTGGGCCAATGCTCTTACCGCTGAGCCAAACTGGCCAGGGCTCCATGGCTACTCTTTCTCGTTCTTTATCAATACATACTTTAGAATTAGCATTTAATGTTCCAGAAAGCAAGATTGTTAACATTCTCATTGAGATCAAATTATACTTATAAATTAGCTTCGAGGGAATTGATGAGATCGAGTCTTCTTGTCTAAGCACATGCTATGTTTTTCCATTTGCTCAAATTTTCTTTTGAGCACTTCATGTGTGTTTTAATATGCTTACCATCTGGGTTTCGCACATTGCAGTATATTGCAAAAATGACCGTAATTCTCCACACCTCCCTGTATGTTATCATTTTGCACAAGTGACACCATGCCTGACTTCCAAGGCTTGTTTTCGCCTGAGAATCGGCACTCTGGGAAACTTCCATGCCTTCTCTTTCCGTCGCACTCAGCTTTCGTGCCTGTCCCATCTAGAGTTCTAGCTTGAGGTTGGGAGAGGGGGCGTTTCTGCTTCCACCAGAGGTGTCCAAGATCTGCCACTGCTGGGCCCCTGCCCGGGTTCTGTCCCACATTCTCTCTTGTTCTCCGTGTAGGACTCAGGGTGGAGTTCATGTTCACCAGGATGGTCTGACGGTGACTTCTCCAGTCCTGATGTGGGTCCAGGTAAGCACAGGGATTCCTGTCCCTCTCCAGTCCCCAGCCTGTCTGACCAGCAGATCCAGAGATTTGCTAGGAAGCCCAAAGGAGGCGGCTCATGAGAGCATCCGCTGAGATGAAGCCCTCACGGGGAACTGGGAGCTGTGTGGTTCCTAGGGCCAGGCTCAGCCTCGGCTGGGGTTAGTGCTCTGCAGCTGAGGCTCACAAAGGGCCTCCGAGTTCGACAGCCACAGTGGCTGCAAAGCCCATCGAGTCTCCATCTTTTAGATGTCACAGAGGAGACCTTTCCCAAATACTGCAGTCAGGCCCTGTGGCCACCCGTGTACCCTGACCCCTCATCTCCTAGGGCAGGGGCCACAGGACTGAGGGTGTGGCCTGCGTGGAAGGGCAAGGGGCTGCCTGATATGCCACCGGGGACCTGAGGCCCTGAAACTAGAGGCCAGCCTCAGTCGGAACTTAATGTGTCTGCCCGATGCTTTCCAGTCCTCCAATACCCGTTTAACCAATTCCCTGTACTAAATTCCTTCTGTTGAGATAACTAGTGTGGTTTCTTTTTTATCAGCCTGACCCTGGCTCATACTGGAGGGTTGGAGTAAAGGATGAATCTCCACCAGGCAGGCTGGCCAGAATGTACTTCAGGGGACTGAGAGACGTAGGGGCAGTGGTAGTGGTGATGAGGGGGACGGGCCAGAGTTGGTGTCCCACTGATAATGTCAAGTCCTTAACTTGGGCAGTGAGCAGTGGGTAGAGAGCCAGGCTTGGGGTGGGGCCAGGGTGGTGTCTAATTCTGAGCCATCCCCAGGACTGGACCTGTTCTAGTTTTGCCGGTCCCTGCCCCAGCTGTACCATGCTCCCTGCATGAGGCTCGGCAAGCAGGGCGAGAGTTGATAGCCACAGCCAGAACTGTGGAGGGAGTCCTCCCTGCACAGGGTAGGGGATGGTGGGGTCAGCCAGAGACTCGGGGCTTCTCTCCCCACAAGGAAATCCCAGGCTGGGGTAACTCGACTTCCTGCTGTGAAGTCTTAGGGGAAGTGTCGAGCTCTGCTGGCCACTGCCATCCACCCCCTCCACGGAGTCTTGCTAGAAAGAACATTCCAACCGATGGTGGATGGTGGAGGACTGGGACGGATGGCCACCAGCTCTGTCCACCTCTCCAGCCTTGCATCCCTGGACGTGGGGAAGGAGGGCCTGCGGCCCGCTCTGGCGGGAGCTTCTGCTTTGCTCTTCACTCTCCCTTGTAGTGAAATCACCTCACTGCTCTGGTGGGTTGAAAATGCACATAAAAGAAACCAAAATTGGAGTCCCCTGGTTTTCAGTCTTCCTGAGGACTTAGAAGTCACAAATTGGAGAACCAGAATTTAAGGATCAGTGGTTGGTGCTTCCATTTATTTAAAATATTTTTAGTATAGTTCACCTTTTTATTTGATGGATGCCTGTGCGTTTAATGATGAGTCAGCTCCTTCTCCGTCCCCTCTGCGGTGACGGCATCTCGGGTTGGAGATGGCTCCATGGTTCGGCACCACCACGGTGCGTTCTGTTTTCTTCACAGGCTCTGGATATCATCCTGGAGAAGATGAAGGCTTCGGGCTTCGACTTCTCCCGCGTCCTCGCCTTGTCTGGGGCCGGCCAGGTTTGTCCGCAGCAGTCTGCGTGGACCACGTGGGGGCGGCTGTCGTGGGCGGCATAGCTGGAGCCGAGGTGCTGGCTCCCCTAGGGGGAAGGTGCTGGTTCTTGAGACCCAAGGCACACATTTTGTTGTCAGTAAAAATCCCTGTAGCTGTTTTGCCTTGGAGGGTATATGGCTCGGCTCCTCACAGAAGGATCTGAGACAGTTCTAATGTTGAACATTTCACGAAATAGGACAGTAGGTGACGAGGAAGTCGATACAGGTCCTCTGAGGGGATGGAGGGAGCTGACATGAATGTGTTATGATGGGGGGCACTAAAATCACTTTTCTATTTCCTGGAAGTAAAAGCAAAGTCAGCCCTGGCCAGTTTGGCTCAGCGGTTAGAGCGTCGGCCTGCGGTCCGGAGAGACCCGGGTTCGGTTCCCACTAGGGGCGCGTACCTCGGTTGCAGTTTGTTCCCGGCCCTGGTCGGTCGTGCGGGTGGCAGCCACTCGATGTGTCCCTTTCACGTCGATGTTTCTCTCTCTCCCTCCCACTCTACCTGAACAAAAAATGGAAAAATGTCCTCGGGTGAGGATAAAAAAAAAAAAAAAAGCAAAGTCAGAAATCATACTGATAATGATAGCAGTGTGAGTAGTAGAGATGTTAGTAATAATAAGAACAACGAACATTGACTTAGTGTGTGCCTGGTGCAGTGCTGAGCCCTTGATGGAAACGAGCTAACTGGTAACATTTCTGCGAGGTGGCATCACGGAGTGGGTAGCACAGGGGTTCTGCGCATGCTGCCTAGGTTTTATCCTAACTCTGCCGTTTACAGCAGTGACCTGGGACACGTCATCCAGCAGTCTGTCACCTCCTTACCCTCATGTGCCATCGGCTCAGTATGAGTGTTTAATGTGTAAAATTTAATGGTGCCTAGTAGGTATGATCCTTAAGTTTTAGCGACTGTTTTTATTATCATTGCCATTTACATGGGGAAACTGAGGTACGGAGAGGTGATGTCACTTGTCCAAGGTGACATAGCTGCTCGGAGGGGAAATCAGGACCCAAGTCCAGTTTATTCTCAGAATCACTTTGCTCCATGCTGGATTTGCCCTTGAAAGACGCCTCTTCTTCCCCCTGACCTAACAGGAATTGATTGCTCCTGTCCTTGTTGTTTTTTAATGTTTTTTAAAATTGTTATTAATTTTTTTTTTTTTTTTTTTTTTTAGAGAGAGAGAGGAAGGGAGAGAGATAGTAATATCGATGAGAGAGAAACACTGATTGGCTGCCTCCTGCACGCCCCCTGCTGGGGAACGAGTCCGCAAGCCCGGCATGTACCCTGACTGGGAATGGAACCAGGACCTGTCAGTTCCTGGACGATGCTCAATCCACTGACCCACACTGGCCAGGCTGCTCCTGTCCTTGTTAAACTAAACACATTCCCTGGGTGATCTGGTCTGCGTCTCACGTGAACCCAGCCCTAGACACCCTCTCCCACCTAGGCATCCCCTTCACCCCTGTGGCCGGGTGTCCTGTGAACACCTCAGACTTATCATGTCCCAGGCTGAGCACCCATCTACCCTCAGACCTCCTCCTCCTCGGGCTCCCTTTCCCAGGAAGCTCTCCCTACCCACCCAGAGCCACCGCCCACGTGTCCACTCCCCACCCCCACATCCACGGTGCCCACACTGCTTTGTACAGGACTCTTGAATCTACCACCTCTTCTCTCACTCTGCTTCTGCTGCCCAGGCCTAGGCCATGACGTGTCCCTGGGCCTCTGCACAGCCTCCAGGCCTCCCGCCTACCTGCTCCAGGTTTCCCACAGGCCCATTCACACATTCGGCCCTGGCCCCGTCCTGCTCATCCAGAGTTCCCACACCTGCGGGATAAACCCAGCCAGCTAAGCATGGGCATCGAGGCCCTGGCGCTGCTACCTTCCCCTCCAGCCCCATCACCCACCTCCTGCCCCAGCTACAGGCCCGCTGCTTAGAATGCCCCTCACCGACACCTCCCGGTTCTCTCACTGGTCCGCTCTGCGTGGAGTACCCCCACACTCAGCCCTGGGATCCTTCCTGACAATCCCGGCTCTCTGTGCCCCCAGCTGGCTGGAGGCACCTCCTCTCTGTTCCCACAGCCCTGTCACTGCACCTGCAGGATTTGTAATCGTAACATTTGTGTCTTTTTCGCCGACTCATCTCCAATACCCTGCGGAGTAGGAACAGTACTATCTTACTCATCTGTTCTGCGCCTGGTCTAGGTGCTCAGTGTCTGTTGACTGAATGAATGGACAAGTGAATGAAGGAGTGCATTTCAGGTACTACTGTGAGCAATTATTTCAGTACAGTTTTACAAAAGCACCAATATCCAGACTGATCATTCCTTCTTGGAGCCTTCCTACAAGCTGTGAGGTGGACAGGGCAGAGTTCCTCCCTGTTCGTAGACGTGAAAACCGAGTCTAGAGAAGAGGATGAGCTCTGTGACTAAGGAGGGCAGGGCGGGCCTGGAGCCCGGTTCTTGGCGTGTGGTCTGCGGGCTTTCTGTGCTTTCTGTGTCTCCAGGGGGCTATGTGTGTGGCCTAATGAACGTGTACTTGGGTTTGCCCTGCACAGCAACATGGAAGTGTATACTGGAGAGCTGGGGCCGGTCGGGTGCTGATGAGCCTGTCACCAGACCTCTGGGTACACGAGCAGCTGCAGGTAACTGGCCAGGGCGGGAGTCGGAGAAACTTCTGTAGAGGGGGGAGAAAGGCCCTGAAGTCTGCGGGGGCACTGTGCATTGTCAGGGTGTAAGAAGGTGGCTCGGGTGGTAGTCCTGTGAGCATGGTCTGCTCTGGCCCTCTGCAGTGGGCGCACCTGGTGTCTGGACAAAGGGCCAGGTGCTGACAGCCCTCCTCACACGGGCTCCTCCTGCCAGCTTGACTCTGGCTCAGGCCCCTTAGGAATCTCCCTCCTGATGTGGGAAGGCCGCTCGGGCCCTTTGTCTTCTCTCCGGCTCCCAGTGCCCTGGCAAAGCCGCCGGAGCCCTTTCCTGCCCGTCTCTGGCATCCTCACCGGAACCTTCAACCCCGAACTTTCTGGAAGAGACCCCAAGGGCCAGGCTGAGGTGTGGGTGGGAAGGGCTTGCTCATGGGCCCTCCATGGTCACATCCGGGGAAGAGGCGCCCATACCTGCCGTGATGGGCATTGTGACCGCCAGTCCCAGAGTCGGCCGGCGGAGCTCCAGCCTGAGCCCTTGCCTCTCCCCCAGGCCTGCTTCTCCGTCAGCGACTGCCCAGTGTGGATGGACTGCAGCACCGCTGCCCAGTGCCGCCAGCTGGAGGCTGCCGTGGGCGGGGCCCAGGCTCTCAGCTGCCTCACCGGCTCCCGTGCCTACGAGGTGGGGGACTTGCCAGGGGCTGGGGCTGGGGCTGGGGCTGGTCCCGCGAGGAAGGTCTGGTTGTTGGCTCCAGTCTCTTTTCTCGGGGTTTCTGGGATGACAGCTGGTGGCTGGGTCCCTGTGGGGATCTCATGAGCTGCGTGGGTGTCGCCCCAGAGGAGCCAGGACGAGGCCCTCAGCCCCTGGTTCTGCCCAGGGCCGTGCTGCCTCCCTGTGCTGCCCATCGAGCAGGGGCAGGCCCCCCTGCGAGTCCCAGGTCAGAACAGGTGTGAACACGGCTGTCCCAGGTCAGAGCAGGTGTGAACACGGCTGTGCTCTTCACGTCAAGCCAGGTGGTGATGTCGCCCTGGGTCCAGCCTCTCTAACCTGGGAATGAGGGTCGCCCTTGCATTTTGGGTGGTTTTGAAGCTGAAAGGAATCAGTGCATGTAAGATGCAGTACAGTTCCTAGCAAAGTGGAAAAAAAATAGAGCGCCTCTTTCCTGCTGGCCTCAGCGTCAGGTCCACCCCGTCCCACAGGGTGGCTGCCACCGAGGTTTCGGGGGAGGGCCAGCCCCACTTGGCCACCTGAAGTCAGAAGAATGAGTGGGGAAGACACGCTTGGGCAGAACAGCCCCTGAGCTGTGTGAATCCCCAGCGAGGCTTCTACCCTGAGGGCGCTCAGCAGATACCCGCATCTCCAAGGCCTTTTTAAAGCCTTCGTTTTACTAACATGCCCAGAGCACGCTACACTCCCCTCATTTATGAAGTTGATCTTTACAGGTAGGATTTGGGTTTTTAAGAATTTGTCATCTTTTTCCAGCGATTTACAGGAAACCAAATTGCAAAGATTTACCAGCAGAACCCCGAGGCCTACTCACATACGGAGGTTGGTTAAACGTTCCTACTTGATTGAGAGTCACAGTTGAGTTCCTTTTATAATACTTACCTTTAACATAAGTACATCTCGTGTGCATTGGTGAAAAAACATTGATTAGCAGACAATATAAATGATAGATTCGCCCTGGTGTGCTCAGTGGCTGGAGCATCGGCCCAAGGACTGAAGGGTCTCAGGTTCAAGGGCTCCTGCCTCGGTTGCAGGTTTGATCCCCAGCCCCAGTTGGGGTCGTGCGGGAGGCAACCAATCCATGTGTTTCACATCGGTCTCTCTATCTCTCTTCCTTCCTTCCCTCCCTCCCTTCCACTCTCTCTAAAAATAAGTGGAAAAAATATCCTCGGGTGATGATTAACCAAAAAAAATTAAAAAGATATTGTTTGCTTTTTTTCTCGTTTGGAAACAATTTGCATGTTTCCGAAGAGGAGGGAAAGAATGAAATCGTGGGAAAGAGAAGCTGGCTCTCCTGTTGAGAAGGGGCGAGCTGTGAGGACTGGTCCCCTGCAGGAAGGATCTGGGTGCCCTCTGGGCTCCGTCCGCTGGTTCCTGAGTGGTTAATGCAGCATGGCTCCCAGGCGCCGATGGTTGTGGGCTCATTGTTCTCCTAGGACCTTTGTAAAACTGGACTGATGTGTCCCCAGCTATGGCCCTTCAACCTGCGTCCCAGGGCACCCAGATTGTCTTCTTGACCCACAGTTGCTGAAAGCCAGCCCTCACTGCTGCCTGATAAGTGGCTGACACCCTGGTAGTAGTGATTCCCATCTCTGAGTAATTAGAGAATGATCAGCTGTGTTAAACCAAAGGGCCTTTTTAATCTTCGATGTTAACATCCAATTTATCTTATTAATGATTCAAGATCACTTGGCAGCATTGGCCGTGTAGGTGGGGCCAGCCATGAAGAACCCTCCACATTCTGTGTGAAACAGGACAGCTGGCCTGATGGGGACAGGAGGTGGCGGTATCCTCTGCCCTGGTCCAAGGCCTGTGGTTCCCGCGTGGAGGCACAGACCCTCGGGCTGACGTTTGAAATCTGTTCTCAGTTCCTGCGGCTCATGCCTGGGGTGTGTGGCTCCGAGGGGCCAGCTTGCACTGACACTTGCTCTGAACCTTCGAGAGTGTCTTTGTCAGCTCTGAGTCCTGTGGCCACACATCCCACTTCGCTTGTGACTAGATATGGAGACCACAGACGTGGAGCAAGGAGACCCACGCTCCCCGGATGGAAAACCCGCTTCCTTAAGTGTGGCTTTTTCATAGGGCCTGGTCTGTGTCTCTGTTGAACTTGACAGTTTTATGGCCTGTCAGAAACTGGGGGGTGAGATGACACGGCCATTATTGGGGTATCTTGCTCACAATTTAAAACTCTTTGTGCCTGGCCATTGTGGCTCAGTGGTTGAGCGTCGACCCAGGCACCAAGAGGTCGCTGGTTTGATTCCCTGGTCAGGGCACATGCCCAGGTTGTGGGCCAAATCTCCAGTGGGGGGCATGTAGGAGGCGGCCAGTCGATGTTCCCTCTCATTGATGTTTCTCTCTCTCTCTCTCTCCCTCCTCTCTCTCTAAAAATTAATAAAGGGGGGGAAATTTTAAACTCTGTGTGTGTGTGGGGGGGGGAGTATTCAGTTGCTGAGGGTATATGGAGGTGAGTCCTGCCTCACTGTTTCCTTCCCCCACAGAGAATCTCCTTGGTCAGTAGTTTTGCCGCTTCCCTGTTCCTTGGGTCTTACTGCCCTGTTGACTACAGCGACGGTAAGCCTTCCGGGTCCTGGGCGTGTGCCTGTGCTGTGGGCGTGCAGGCAGCGTGGGCCTTGGCCACCTGGGCATGTGCCAGTCTTTCAGCCTCTTATCTGCTGCCAAGCAGGGAGGGTATTTGTTATCTTGCTGTGTAACATGACCAGAGCAGCTGGCCGCTGAAGACCGCAAATGTTTCTTACCCCAGAGTTTCTGCAGGTCAGGAATCTGAGAGCAGCTTAACTGGGTGGTTCTGGCTTAGGATCTCTCAGGAGGGGGCCTCCAGCTGTGACCAGGGCTACCGTCATCTAAAGGCTTGACTGGGGCTGGAGGATCCATGTCCGGGCTCACACACCTGACCGTTGACCAGAGGCCTCAGTCCTCCCCATGTGAGCCTCCTGTGCACACAGCTGGATCCCCAGCAAGGGGTGGGAGAAGGAGAGGGGCCAGGCAGAAGCGGCAGAGTCTTACACCCTGATCTTGGAAGCGACATCCCGTCACTTCTGCCCCAGCCCACGGGTCACAGACTTACCCAGGTGTGGGGGGCGGGACCTCACAGGTGTGAACACCAGGACTTGGGGGTGAGCAGGGGCCATCTGGAACCCGGCTCCCACAGAAGTCAAGTTTTTGTTCACATTTGGGGAACTTACGGGAGTTGTGAGCTTCTGGAATGAGGAGGAGGAGGAGGAGTGACGGGAGGGGAGTGGCCTCGGGAAAGAGTGTGCTCCGAGCTCCTGGATTTCACCCGAAGGCTGTGAGTGCTGTTGGGTACCAGGCGTTTTTCGAGCCTTCGGGGAGATGAAGTGAGATGACGAAGGAGTGGTCCCCAAGCTCCATTCACAGTCTGGAGAAGAAAAGTTCCTACAGCTAATTGCATAGAACGCAGCGTGGACCAGCCTGAGTGTCCACCTGTGTTGTGCCTCCACCCAGCTGGGGCCAGGTGCTGTGGGGAAGGTCACACCACTGCTCCTGTAGGCACGCTGGAGGGTCAGCTGGAGGGTCTCGTTCTCCAGCCTCGCTGGGCCCTCCACTCCGCTCACCTGAGGAGCCACTTCCTCATCTACCCACGTCCTCACAGGGGCAGGTGACTCCTCCCTGCCCCAGCCCCAGCCCCCTCTGACTGCCTCCACCTGTGCTCTGGGTTCCCTCCCTCGTCCCGTCCTGAGGGAAGCTTGGGAGGAAGAGATTATTACAGGAAAGACTTGGTGAGCTTAGAGATGGCATGAGGGAGGTGAGGAGTCGGCTCTCCTGGAAGGTAGATGTGACCGGAAGCCCCTGAGGCCACGTCGGCAACAGGCCGCCTCCCAGGAGACACCGCGAACCACGGGGACACAGAGCGGTGTCTTTGTCACATAGGGTGGTAGTTCCGCTCCCCCGGCCAGGTCTTAGAGCAGCAGCTTTCTAGGCTGGTGGTTGTGTTTGAGCCGGTGAGGAAGTACTTCGGGCAGGTGGCGGGGCCACGCGTTTCCAAGGCCTTGCTGGCCTCTGGCCCTCTGGTTCCAGCCTGTCTCAGGCACATGGCATACATCCCGTCGGCACAGTCTGCTGCCAGAGCATGATCTGCTGTCTGCCAGGTCTGTGCGTTTCTACAAGATGTGTCTAATTCTCGTCTCCCTTCCTTAGGTTCTGGAATGAATTTGTTGCAGATCCAGGACAAAGTCTGGTCCCAGGCTTGCCTTGATGCCTGTGCACCTCACTTAGAGGAGAAGCTTGGCTCCCCCGTACCGTCATGCTCAGTTGTGGTAGGTCCTCTTTCCAGTGATGCGGCTCCTTTAAGAGCACGCAGCTACTGGGAAGCAGTGCAGTACGCACACTCTCGTACACCCATTCATTTGCACACGGGACTTTCAGTCCAGTGTAAGCAGGTGAAGTAAGATGTCTGCGTCAATGCCTTGCACTTAGTAGGTACTCAGGGGCATGGAAAAGATCGCTGCCTTCTGGCAGGTAGGTGGGGGGAGATTTGGAAAATTCCACTAGACATTTATTGGAATAAATAGGACAAAAAGTAAGTTTTGGATGATTGCACACCTTAGGGAGAAAATGCACAGAATGTTACCATTCTGGACTAGACCACCACTAAAGCAGACAGTCTGGAATAAGCAGAAGCACCAACAAGCCAGGCAGAGCAGAGGCCCTGGCCCCAGGCTGCCTGGGGCGGAATCCTGGTTCTGCCACTAACCAGCTCTGAGACCTTATACTGTGCCTCGGGTCCCTCCTCATTTCCGCTGTGCCTGGAACCGTTTATTATTCCCTCTCATTGGGCTGTTGTGTCGAATAAATGAGTTGATTCCTTTAAAGTGCTTAAGATGCTTGAGATAGTGCCTGGTCCACTGTGACAGCGCAGACATTGAAGCATCTGTGTGACACCCATTCAGAGTAGACACTGTGAACGCCCTGGTGTGCCCTCGTGGGCCGGCTCGGTTCTTGGCTGTTCGGAGGGGAGAATGGAGTTGAGAGAGACCTGGGCCCTGCCCTCGGGGCCCTTTGGCCAGGACCACAGGCCACACAGGTCGAAATCCTGAGTGGGACAGAGGGACAGGAGGAGGGTCTCGAGGCCTGGGAGAGGCGTGGAATGGAGGGGTGGGCACGAGGAGACCAGGGCTCTCCCTAGCACCCCCGTTGGGAGTCCCAGCCACAGAAGCAATTGTCTGAGGTCAACACTCACAAGTTGGAAAGAGCCTTTGCCCTCAGGAGCACGAGCAGAACCACAAAGCCACCCCATCGCCTTCCGGAGGGTGCCACGAGGCAGCAGCAGAGCTAAGGAAGGGCGAGCTGCCCCACAGAGGCAGGCGGCTCAGGACCAGGCAAAGGAGGGGCGAGCAGAACACAGACCCGCGTGGGGTTGGAATTCCGTGCACGACTTAGTGCTGTGTGAGATGCAGAGCAGGGCTTGTCCGTGGAGCGGGCTCTGTTTGCCTTGTGCCGCGAACACAGGCCTCCAAGGGGCGCTGTGCGGACACGGGCAGCTGGGGGAACAGGAAAGGAGTGATTCCGAAACGGTTCTGGGTGTTCAGTTGTCACAAACGTGCCGTGTGATGGTGATGGGAAAAACAAGCAAACTCCACCTCCGTCCTGTTTTTTGGAAGGTAGTGTCCAGGAAGATACTTGGTGACGGGTTGTGTCAGACCTTGTTCGCCACCCAGCGTCCCCTGGCAGCAGCCTGCCTGAGCTGCACCCCATCTCCCACTCTTCCTCCTGCTCCAGGGCGCCCGTGAGTCCAGTGGGCTCTGCAGACCTGGAGGACCGGCTCCACTGTCTGGTCCCCGGGCAGGCAGTCCAGGCCCACTTCTGCCGTGACCCGGTTGCCCCAGCATTGCCCAGCTCGCTCAGCATTGCACCACGGAATGGACTTTCCCTTCTCCCGGTTCACTCTCCAGTCCCCTCTTGATTCCTGGGGTCACCGTCCCAAATAGGCCGCCTACTCAGCTCTTTGCTGAGGCAACTTGGTCTCCCAGGAGGTGGCTTATTCTGATGGAAATTTGGAATTTTGCTTGAGGTTGCAAACTTTTCCTCCCAGACACCAGGAAATCTCGTCATTTGTTTTAAACTTTCAGAACTAAGATAAAATCAGGGAAAGGGGAAAAAATGGTTTCTTTTCATAAGCATGCTTTTTTAGAGATGACATCTGTCTCGATTCCAGAGGGTATCCCTGCCCTTGGGTCCCACAGCAGCACGTGGAGGGGCCTGAGGGCCATGGTTTCTGGGGGAGTCCCCTCCCCAGCACTGCCTTTTTGGGTTTATTTTCTTTAGAACCTTGACCTCTGCAGTTGTGTGTCCAGTTATTTTTATTTTTATATCCTCACCCGAGGACATTTTTTCCCTCATTTTTGTTCAGATAGAGTGGGAGGGAGAGAGAGGAAGAGAAAGAAACATCGACGTGAAAGGGACACATTGATTGGTTGCCTCCTGCACGACCCCAACCAGGGCTGGGAACAAACCAAAACCGAGGTACATGCCCTTGACTGGAATCGAACCTGCACCTCATTGGTCTGCGGGCTGACGCCCCAACTGCCGAGCCAAACCGGCCAGGGCCAGTTATTTATTTATTTATTTTTCAAAATTAATTTTGGAGAGAGTGAAACATCGATTTGTTGTTCCACCTATTTATGCATTTATTGGTTTATTCTTGTATGTGCCCTGACCGGGGATCGAACCTGCAACCTTGACCTATTGGGACAGTGCTCTAACCAACTGAGCTAGCTGGCCAGGGCTGGCCAGTTAATCTTAATCCAATTGCTGGCTGATAGAGTACGTGTGTAAGGATTTATCTACTCCCATGAGTTTGCTTACTAGTGTCCTCGGTTATATGTTTAATTTTAATGTTAGATCAAGAATCTGGAGCTTGCATGTCAAGTACCTGCTGCGGACTGGTTTGCTCTGCAGCCTTGAGTCTCAAAATGAAGTGGTCTTCGAGGCGGTGGGATGACCTCACACTGTGATTCCAGACCTGCCCTTGCCACCTCGTCTTTTTGTGGACGGGAGGGACAGCGCTGGTTGGCCACAGGATGTGACTCTGGGCCCCGTGACCGGGGCCCTGGCAGCCCTGTGGCCGAGGGCGGGTGGCTGAGCTGAGAAGGTGAGCTTTGCCTCAGCAGAGTGTGCTGGCTCTTCCTCCTCAGGGAGCCATTTCCTCCTACTACGTCCGGCGCTATGGATTTCCTCCAGGATGCAAAGTGATGGCCTTCACTGGGGACAACCCAGGTGAGTCCCTGGGCGGGTAGCGCTCTCCAGGTAGCCTACTTGGTCCATGCTGGACACGAGTGTCCGGCCTGGCCTCTCAGTGAAGCCCTTCTGGGGTAGGAGCCCTCCCTCCCTGGGGGTAGGAGCCCTCCCTCCCTGGCTGTAGGCTCCATTCCTGAGATCAGACTCCTTGTACCTGCCCCACCTTGGCCCTGCCTGTCCTCTGGAGCCACTCAGTGCTTCCTGCCCACCCCAGGAAAACTGACCAGTGACTGAGGGGGACAGTCCTGCCCACCCCAGGAACACTGACCAGTGACTGAGGGGGACAGTCCTGCCCACCCCAGGAACACTGACCAGTGACTGAGGGGGGACAGTCCCGCCCACCCCAGGAAAACTGACCAGTTACTGAGGGGGACAGTCCTGCCCACCCCAGGAAAACTGACCAGTGACTGAGGAGGACAGTCCCGCCCACCCCAGAGAACACTGACCAGTGAGTGACTGAGGGGGACAGTCCTGCCCACCCCAGAGAACACTGACCAGTGACTGAGGGGGACAGTCCTGCCCACCCCCAGTGACTGAGGGGGACAGTCCTGCCCACGTGACTGAGGGGGACAGTCCTGCCCACCCCAGAGAACACTGACCAGTGACTGAGGAGGGACAGTCCCGCCCACCCCAGGAAAACTGACCAGTGACTGAGGAGGGACAGTCCCGCCCACCCCAGGAACACTGACCAGTGACTGAGGGGGGACAGTCCCACCCACCCCAGGAAAACTGACCAGTGACTGAGGGGGACAGTCCTGCCCACCCCAGGAACACTGACCAGTGACTGAGGAGGGACAGTCCTGCCCACCCCAGAGAACACTGACCAGTGACTGAGGAGGGACAGTCCCGCCCACCCCAGGAAAACTGACCAGTGACTGAGGAGGGACAGTCCCGCCCACCCCAGGAACACTGACCAGTGACTGAGGGGGGACAGTCCCACCCACCCCAGGAAAACTGACCAGTGACTGAGGGGGACAGTCCCGCCCACCCCAGGAAAACTGACCAGTGACTGAGGGGGACAGTCCTGCCCACCCCAGGAAAACTGACCAGTGACTGAGGAGGGACAGTCCCGCCCACCGCTCCTTGACCCGCCCTTTCTCTTGCAAGCAAAACATCTCAATTCCCTAACCCTTCCTCTAGGACATGGTTTTGAGTCCCTACCCTGTCAATTAATCTTTAGGTGGGACTTACTCCTCATCCACACACTTTGTTTTCCTTTCAGAATGAAAATAACTTCATTGAGTCTCATTAGGAACATGTATTCGTTCTTATACCTACTCTAGCAACTGAAGAATGTCAGGGAGATTACTGGGCCTGCTTCTACTCCCTGGGTGTGAGCTGGGCCCTTTGAGCTAGAGTGACGACACAGTAGCTTTCGGTCCTTTTTCTTGGACCTTGGTACCAGGCTGACTGTTGGAGCTACCAGGCAGGTAACCAACCCTCAGCTGGGCCCTCCCTGGGTCTGACCTTCAGTTTGTTGTTGCCTTAAATAATACATTAATTGCACAATCCTGAAAATAACATTAACAAGCAAACAGACTGACAAAGGTTTATGCTTTTGTTGTTTTTTTCTTTTTGCTTTTGTTGTTGTTTTTACTTTGATTTTAGAGAGGAAGGGAGAGGGAGAGATAGAAATGTCAATGAGAGAGAGCACTGATTGGCTGCCCCCTGCATGCCCCACACTGGGGATTGGGTCCACAACCTGGGCATGTGCCCTGACTGGGGATCGAACCAGCGACCTCTTGGTGCCTGGGTTGACGCTCAACCACTGAGCCACACCAGCTGGGCAGTTCACATGGGATACCTCTTCATTACAGAAAAAATGTTTAAATACTGACAAACCAATGGATGTAAAAATCAGCCATAACCCAGAGATAACCAGTTAAAATTGGGCTAGGACCTCTTCCTAAAGTAGTCCAGACCCCCCACCACTGAGGTCCCACAGTAAAAGTGACTGCTATCCTTCCAGCCTTCTTTTTATGTCCCACCAACCTGGGCAGTTCTGTTTGTTTGTTTGTTTGTTTTTATTTTTTATCCTCACCCGAGGACATTTTTCCATTTTTTGTTCAGCTAGAGCGGGAGGGAGAGAGAGGAAGAGAGAGAGAAACATCGACATGAAGGGACACATCGAGTGGCTGCCACCCGCACGACCAACCAGGGCCGGGGACAAACTGCAACCCAGATACGTGCCCTTAGCGGGAACCGAACCCGGGTCTCTCTGTACCACAAGCTGACGCTCTAACCGCTGAGCCAAACTGGCCAGAGCTGGGCAGTTTTGTCCAGCATTTTGAGCTTGTCCAGGGTTCAGCTGTCCCAGCATTTATTGAGCCAGTCCCCTGCGATGGGGCGGACGCGGCTTCCAGGGCAGATGTCCAGATGCGCACCCTGTGTGGTGACTTGTCCCTTCGGGGTGGGTTCTCAGAGTGGGTTCCTGGACCCAAGGCTCTGACACACGGCCGGTCGCACCTCCCAGCAACGCTCGAGTGTGCCCGTTTCCACACTCCTTCCATTCATTCCCCGACGTTCACCACGCGACAGGCCTTCCCTCAGCTGCCGGTGAACAGGGCAGATCCAGATGGCTGTGTGGGCCACTTAACCTTTCCAGACTGCTGGGGCGGGGACAGCCCCCACTCCTGCTCGCCTTTGTCTGTGTGTCCTCGTGTCTTGACCTGGCCCCTCAGTTCTCTGCACTCCTGGGGGTGCCTGACTACTTTAGGGAAGAGGTCCCAGCCCAAATCCAAGGCTCTGACCACAGAGCCTCCACCCCCTGACCCCGGGACCTCCTTTGGAGACCTCCCGAGCCCTCAGCTCCCCTTAGCATATGGGTTCGGGTGGGGGGGGGCTGTGCGCCCATCTGGGGGTCCATTGTTTGCTCCGAGGCTCCCGTGTACTAACCAGAGGCCCCTCCCCCATTGTCAGCATCACTGGCAGGCATGAGGCTGGAGGAAGGTGACATTGCGGTAAGGTGACGTCTCACATCCACTCTTTCTGCCCCGGGGGTCATCTTTGCTGTCTATCAGAGGGTCTGCTGGTCCCAAAAGGTAGCTGGGGGGGGGGGGGATAGGGAGTCCCAGGCCCCAGGACCTGCCCCATTTTTCTCTTAGAAGGTCATTTGCCTTTGCTGGGTCCTCTGCCTGCCTTGACAGTGACCAGTCTTGTGGGCACGGTGGCAGAAGGTTCAGACATTGGGCCCGAGAGAGGACTCCGCTCCCCAGATGAGTAAGGAAGACATCACCCATGCTCCCTGGGTTTAGTGGGACAGTCACTTGGGCAGCCAGTCATCACCCACACCATTAGTTAGACTCAGTTGTGGGAAGTTCTAGAAAGTCTGCCCATAGGATCCATGACAGCCTGTATCTGGGGAGCTGACCTTGGACTCATCTGGTGTAGGAGGGTCAAGAGAGGTTTCTCCCCAGAGGTGGTGTTTCATCTGAGGTCTGCAACATCGGGAGCGAAGCGAGGGGATCAGGTGGTGCCTCACCTGTGCCCGTCTCTCCCCAGGTCAGCCTGGGCACCAGCGACACCCTGTTTCTCTGGCTTCGGGAGCCCACGCCCGCCCTGGAGGGCCACATCTTCTGCAGCCCAGTCGACCCCCAGCACTACATGGCCCTTCTGTGGTAGGTTGGGTGGGAAGACAGCTGTGGGCAGGTCTGCCCCCATCTGGAGCACCCCAGGTTGTCCCGCTGAGCAGCCTCTTGTGGACAGCTGAGGGCCCCGGGACTCCTCAGGTCTGCAGACACAGCTGGGTGGAGAGGAACCCAGGACCTGGAGTCTCCCAAACCCAGGTTCAAACTCCAGCCCTGACACCCACATCCTGTTGGCCCGGGCAGATGCCATAGCATGTCTGAGCCTCACTTTGTTCATAAAATGAGAATAAGCCCTGGCCGGTTTGGCTCAGCGGTTGGAGCATCAGCGCACAGACCAGAGTTGCGGATTCGATTTCCGGCACGTACCTCAGTTGTGATTCCATCCTCGACCCTGGTGGGGGTCGTGCGAGAGGCAACCAATCGACGTGTCCCTCTCATGTCAATGTCTCTCTCTCTCTCTCCCTCCCACTCTATTTGAAGATAAATGGAAAAATATCCTCAGGTGAAGATTTTTAAAAAAGGCATTTACTTTTACTTTATATTGTTATGACAAAGGTAATCTTTGACAAACGGTAGTAAGGACATCCTGCCTCCTGGCATTCTTACAGACAGGCCTTGGGAGACTTGCTGAGAGCTACTGGGGCGGGGGGAGGGGGGGGCTGAGCTCTAAGCCCTGGAAACCTCTGGAGAATGGAGGCCTAGTAAGTCTAGCCAGCCCCTCCCCGTTGTCCAGGGGCGCAGCCTCCTCCGTAAACAGCCCAAGGCAGTGTGTTCCCAGAAGGTGAGTTGGGCTGGTGCCTGAGGGGGAACTTCAGGTCCCTGCCATGCGGTGGCTGGGGGCTGTGGTCCAACCTGACCCGTCCCCTCCACTTGGCAACACGTGGGTCTGGTCAGCAAGCACTGACCCTTTCCCGGTTGTGTGCACTTCTGCAGCTTTAAAAACGGCTCTCTGATGAGAGAGAAGATCCGCGACGAGTCGGCTTCCTGTTCTTGGAGCGAGTTCTCCAAGGCGCTGCGGTCCACGCAGATGGGGAACGGCGGGAACTTGGGTAGGCTGCCCCGTGATGCCCAGGCCCCCGAAGGGCGGCAGCTGCCTGTGGGAGGGGCAGGGGCCTGATGCCCCTTGAGTGGGGAAGAGGAGGTCCGGGGAGAAGCCGAGGAGAACGCCGTCCGTCTGCATTCTGTCCATGGGCCTGACAGCTGGTGTGAGACCTCGTGTTCTGAGCGAGTTGGGCTGGAGGCTGCTGCTGGCGGCTTCTCCATGCTCTGAGGGGAAGATCAGGCCGTAGCTGCATCGTCTGGCCCGTCGAAGGCCCCGGTGACAGCATCAGAAGTGGCAGCCACAGTGCCAGCTCTCCCCGGTGCATACCTTCTGCTGCAGACACCAGGTGCTCTTAGGGACATGCCCAGTGTCTGGAACAGGCCTCTGAGCAGGGAGGGGACGTGCTTCCCTTGGTCAAACCTGTGCAGGTAGTTAGAGCCCGGCCGCCAGGTGAGCGTAGGAAGATCTGGCTCAGGAACCTAGCCTCGTCCTTCCCATTGCCCTCTGTCCGGAGAGAAGGACCTGGGGGCATTCACAGATGCCATCCTGTGGATGAGGGGCCCCGGGACAGGGATGTGGGGTCATTGCACCCTGCCTTTTCTAAGTCTTGAGAAACCCACATTTTGTTGTTGACTACTCACAGCTAATCTCTTCCTGACCTGCTTCAGGTTTTTATTTTGACGTAAAGGAGATCACCCCAGAGATGATCGGGCGGCATAGGTTCAATGCGGAAAACCGTGAGGTATGTGTGTTACTGGTACTGATTGCTCCGTTTCTGAGTATTAAATTTAACAGTCGCCTATCAGATTATGCTATTTTTAGGGGCTTCAATTATTCACTCACCCATTGAAAAAACAAACATTTTTTGTTGTTAATCCTCACCCCAGGATATTTTTCCATTGATTTTTAGAAAGAGTGGAAGGGAAGGAGGGAGAGAGAGAGAGAAACATCAATGTGAGAGAGACACATCGACCGGCTGCCTCCCACACGACCCTGACTGGGGCCAGGTATGTGCCCTTGACTGGGAATCAAACCCGAGACCCCCTTGGTCCGTAGGCCAGTGCTTTAACCACTGAGAAATACTGGCCAGGGCAAGAAAACAAACATTTTTGAGGCCCTGGCTGGGTAGCTCAGTTGGTTAGGACATTGTTCCTATATGCCAAGGCTGCAAGTTCAAACCCTGGTCAGGGCATAGACAAGAATCAACCAGGGAATACAGAAATAAGTGGAACAACAAATCGAGGTTTCTCTCTCTCTCTCTCTCTCCCTCTCTCTCTCTCTCCCCCCTTCCTCCCTCCCTCTCTCTAAAATCAATTTAAAAAAACAAAAACATTTAAAAATATATATATTTTTTTATTTTTTAGAGAGATAGAAACATCAGTGTAAGAGAGAAACATTAGTCTGGCTGGTGTGGCTCAGGGGTTGAGCGTCAACCCATGCACCAGGAGGTCACCAGTTCAATTCCTAGTCAGGACACATGCCCAGGTTGTGGGTCCGATCCCCAGTGGGGGGCATGCAGGAGGCTGCCAGTCGATGTTTTCTGTCATCTATGTTTCTGTCTCTCTCTCCCTCTCACTTCCTCTCTCTCTCAAATCAATAAAGGAAAAAAAGTTTTAAAAAAAAGAGAGAAACATCAGTGGTCTGCCTCCTGCATGCCCCCTACTGGGGACTGAGCCTTCCACCCGGGCATGTGCCCTGACCAGGAATTGAACCAGGACCTCTCAGTCCCTGGGATGATGCTCAGTTCATTGAGCCACACCCACTGAGCCAAAAACTTATTTTTTAAGGATTTTTTTTTCTGTGTTGATTTTAGAAAGAGAGGAAGGGAGAGGGAGAGAGAGATAGAAGCATTGATGCAAGAGAACATCGACTGGCTGCCTCCTGCATACCCCACACGGGATCGGGCCCACAACCTGGGCTTGTGTCCTGACCGGGAATCGAACCAGTGATCTCTTGGTGCATGGGTCCATGCTCAACCACTGAGCCACACCGGCCAGGCCCCAAAACATGCTTGGTGCTGGGGAGTCTGCAGGATCTAAGGCAGACGCCATCCTTTCTGTCAGAGAGGAGTGCAGAACTCCTGAGGGGTCTTGCTGAGCTGCTGTGCTCATCCTGAGAATCACTGAGTGTCACAGAGCCTGTTACACCTGCCAAGAAGTCACAGATCTCAAGATCACGAACCTCCTTCCCATTGAAAGAGCCGCTGGGAGGCGGGTCTGAGCACTCAGACACTGTCTTGGTGGTTCTCGTTACCTTCCTCAACCTCTCAAAGCAACTGTGTGAGATAGGTATTGTCAGCTCCTTTCCAGGAGAGATGGTGACCCAGAGAAACTAACACGTAGGTCACGAGGGCCGAGGGGGCGGAGGGCTCAAACCTGCTCTCCAGGCCCGAAGCCACTGTTTTCTGTTCCCCTCCACCATGAGGCCTTTCCCAGGAGAGATCAGTCCTTACTTGCTGCTTTGGATGGACTTTTCTGTGGGACAGTCACAAGCCATCCCCACACTGTGGATTGGACCTGAGCGCTGTCTCTGACCCGAGTAAACGTCTGAGGGCTTCAGTCAGTGGCTCTGTCCGAAGCTGGTGCTGGAGCATGTGGCCGATGGTGGCGTTATGTGTCAGATCGTGGGTGGAAAGGTTTTTGTGAAGTGTGGGGTTCATCTCCCTCTTCTGATGGGTCAGCTTGGTTTCTGTCGTTCCTAGAGAAAAGATCTGCCCGTTCTTTTTTGTGTAAATCTGTCTAGGTTTTGTCAAGGAGAAGGTAGTTTTCCTCATTCATTCAATCCACAGCTATATGATTGGTGCCAGGCTTTGGGGACACAGAGGACAATGAGGTATCCATGGTCCCCACTGCACGGTGTCCATTGTCCAGGGCGGAGATGGACAGTAAACAAGTGAGCAAACACACATGTATGGTGTGTGACGTGGTTAGGAGGGGAAAGAACACAGTGCCATGGGAAAGAGCAGGGGGTGCACTGGGGGGTTGCCCTCCTCCATGGGGTGACCAGGTGGCCTTGAGGTGGGCAGACGTCCAGGCAGGGAGAGTTGGTGGCACTCAAAGGTGTGTCAGGTTGGGGTTCCTGAGGGGAGAGCGGGAGCATCCATCACTGGTCTCGGGACTAGAGAAATGGGCCTGGCTGGGTGGCACCCACCAGCATTAGCCTGAGGATGCCCCAGAGGCCAGGGGTCAGTGTATAAGCTCCGGCTCTCACTTGGTGCCTGTCAGCTGCGTAGACCAGGCTCTGCTGTCTACCTGGATCATTAGAACAGTCCTATCACACAGGCACCACTGTGAACTCACTTTTGTTAAGAAAGAAGATGAGGCTCAGCAAGGTCTCTAACTCACTCAAGGTTACAGAGTTGAATTGCACAGACAGAACTTGAACCCTTGGTGGCCTGAGCTCTCTGGTGCTGACTCACTGATACTCACGTGAGGCTGTGAGTGTGTGTGTGTGTGGGTGGGGGGGGGCAGTTAGTGGTTCGGGAGCCCAGCTGTGCATCAGCTCCACTGAAGGCCTGAATCATGAGTTCTGAACCTGAGTGTTACTGTTTAAAACGATACACACTTGCCCTGGCCAGTTTGGCTCAGCGGTTAGAGCACTGGCCCACAGATCAAAGAGTCTCAGGTTCGATTCCAGTCAAGGGCATGTGCCTAGGTTGCAGGTTTGATCCCCAACCCTGGTCAGGGTTGTGCAGGAGGCAACCAACTGATATGTCTCTCTCACATCAATGTTTCTCTCTCTTGCTCTCTCTCTCCCTCACCTTCCTCCCTCCCACTTTATCTGAAAATCAAGGGAAAACTATCCTCAGGTGGAGATTAAAAAGAAAAAATAGAGAAAATGTAACACACACACGAATGGACAGTGGGAGTTCTTCACTCTGCTCTTTCCCCCGGGACAGGTCTCAGCATTCCCCAGGGATGTGGAGATCCGGGCACTGATCGAAGGACAGTTCATGGCCAAGAGGATTCATGCCGAGGGCCTGGGCTATCAAGTCAGTAAGTGAGCTGCCGGTGGGCTGTGTTCTGGGGCGGGGGTGCAGGGTCCCCGCTCAGACTGAGGTGCTTGAGATCCTTTTCGGTGTTCAGGCAGGGCCTGGTGGGATGCTGTCTGTTACGGCTGCGTGGCAGGGGCCTCCTGCAGGAGAGGAGCCGACTGGCACGTGCAGGCAGGCGTCCACTAGGAGAAGGTTGTCCTGCTTCTCCACTCTGCCTTCAGTGGCCGATCTCCTGGCCAGGAGCTGCGGGACTTGGGGATCCTTCTGTAACCCTGAGCTCCAACCTGAAGCCTGAATGTCTCAAACTCTGGATCCTGAGGACTTGGGCAGCGCCGGTGGGAAAGGTCTGGGCTGGGCCATGACTGGACCCTGACCTCTGTGTAGCCTGGCCAGACCTCATCTTCCGGGGGACAGGGGGCACGGTGCTGGGCATTTCCGTTTGGATAGGGCAGAATGGGGGTGTAGACCACTGTCCAAACTGAGGGGTCTGGAGTGGAGTGGCAGAACCAGGGCTGGGGGAGGCACACGGGGTGGGGGGATTTCCACGCACTCGAGCTGTGGAATGGGCAGCTTTAGGCAGTGAGTGAGTTCCCCGTACTGATGGCGTCGGTATGTTGGGGGTTCTGCACGGACACCTGGTTTCTAAGATGTTTTTGTCCCTCTGGGCAGCAGCTGTTGTCACTAGAGAGGGTAGAAAACCCCCGAAGCTTCTTTGCTTGATGGTTTTCTCATGGTACTTCTGTGGGTAATCTAATTCTGTGTAGTGTATGTTGTTTCACTCATTCATTCATCCATTCATTCATTCATTCATTTATTTTAAATCCTCAGCCAAGGATATTTTTCCATTCATCTTTAGATAGAGTGTGAGAGAGAGAGAAACATCGATGCAAGAGAGACACATCAATTGGTTGCCTGCCGCACGACCCCAAGCAGGGCTGGGGACTGAGCCACAACCTTGACCGCAGTCGAACCTGAGACTCTTTGGTCCGCGGGTCGATGCCCTAACCGCTGAGCCAAACCAGCCTGGGTTATGTTATGTTTTTGAACCCACCAAGAAAAAGGATATAAAAAGCAGTAGGAAAACCTTTTGAAAACCTGTTAGGCAGCACCCGCTAAGCTGCATGCACGCCTCTTGGTGCGGGTGTATTGGAAGTGTGCACACGTGTTCTCCAAGGCGCACAGGAGACTATTCATCACAGCTCTGTGCTCGATAGCCCCGCACGGGAAGCAACCCAGCGCCCATCGATAGCAGGGGGGTAAGTGCATTGTGGGTATTCGTGCAACGTGACAGTACGCAGAAAGGAAAATGAACCAACCTCAGCCGCGTGCAGCAGCATTGATGGACCTCACAAATGGAACTCTGAGCAAAAGAAGCCAGACTTCAAGTGCATGTGGCAGTATTCCGTGCACGTCAGATTCAGAAACAAACAAAACTGTCTGCTGTGGTTGGAAGTCGGGATGGTTAACAGTCACCTTTCAGGAGTGGGGTCTTGAGAGGGCCTCTGGGGTGCTGGTGATGTCCCCTTCCTGGGATGGGTGGGTGTTTCATGTGTGCAATCTGTCAGGCTGTCAGCTTATGATGTATATGTAGATTTTTCAGGATGTGTGTGTGGGCAATAAAAATGTTATAATACAGTCATGTGCCGTATAATGCCATTTCGGTCCACGACAGACCACATGTAGGAGAGTGGTCCCATAAGGTTAAAGTGGAACTGAACAATTCCTAGTGACGCCGTAGCCATCGTAACGTAGCACAGCCCATTCCTCACCTGTTCGCGGTGATGCTGGAGTAAACACCTGTGCTGCCTATGTTGCGAAAGTACAGTGCCTGTCTCTGTTGAGCTGTTTAGATGCGTGTATACTTACCGTTGTTACTGTTGCTCACATTATGCTGTGAGTAACATGCTCTACAACAGATTTGTAGCCAAGGGTAGTTGGCCATACCATACAGCTTAGGTGTGTAGCAGGCTAGACATCCAGGTTGGTGTAGATACACGCTATGTTGTTTATATAACGAAATCGCCTAACATTGCATTTCTCAGAACAGATCTCCTTGTTAAGCCACGCGTGCTTGTAAATGAATGACCATTGTAAACTTACCCTTTCCTCTCCATCCTTCCACGCACGCTGTAAAAAGAACTGAGAAATGAGATCAGGTGAGCAGGGCAAGGAGGGCCTGGCATGAAGGGTTCTCTAGCTGCCAGGAGGGGGCAGTTTGGGGGCTGGAGGCTGTCCCCAACAGCCCAGTGTGCAGGGCGAGGCAGTGAGGGCAGAGAGGTCCTCCTGGGCTCAGGAGGGGCAATGTGACCACGTCGTCATTCCCAGCCTCCAGAGCATTTCCTCTGCAAAACAGCATCAAGTTACTTATCCTCTTAGCGAGCTCAGATGCAAAATCAAACCTGTCTTGCCAGCTGTATGTGTTCTTATGTGACTTGCTTCTGTAACTCAGTGTTATGTTTATGAATGCATCCAGGTGAACTGTTAACTCTCATGGCAGTATAGTGGTCCAGCACATGATTATACTACGATTTACTTATCCATTCTTCTGTAACATACATGAGCTCTTTCCTGCGCAGTATTATGAACAGTGTTGCTATGAACAACCTTGTTAATGTCTGTGGCTGACTTTTCTTTATATCCTCTCTTCCTTTTGACAGGCATTGGTAGTAAACTGACAACCTGAGTACAGATTCTGTTTCTAGAACTGGTCATGTTTGGCTAACCTGATGTTTAACTTTTAAAATCAAATACCTTTAGGTGGGGCCTGCTCACTCAGGGGCCTTGCTATACACTAGCCCAGTGAACGCAGTTACCCTGTCCTCCTGGCCCCTGAAGGCTTTTCCATGGCTGGTACCTGAGCCGAAATGCTCTACTTCTTTTCCTAGTAACTACCCTTGCATTTTAAACACAGATCCTGAAATGTGTGGTTTTTGATCAACAGTTAGAATTTATATACTATGTAGTAATTATATTCCCACTAGGAGAAGACGTTTTTCCTCTCCTGTCCTTTCTCTGCCTTGTGTTTTCTGGCTCCAGAATGTTACTGATTTGTGAGCAGTATACATCAGTAATTCCTTCAAGTGTACTCTTGGCTGGTTTCTTTGATCACTGCTGCTTATTATGTCACACATCTTACCTTGTTTGGATTTGTATTTCATCTTTGTTTCAGGACATCCTGATTCTTTTATGTAGAGGAGGGGGCGTGTGCAGGATTGGTCTCTGACTGCATGGAAAGATTTGCCTTTACCCTTCAAGGATACTTTCATAATATGTGGACTTCTGAGTCAAAAAGTCATATTATTTCAGAACTTTGGAAATAGCGTTCTATTGTGTTCTGACTTTTAGTGCTGCCAAGTCAGAAGCCTGATGCCTGTCTGGATAGTTTTCTTTTTTTTGTTTTTCTTTTCTCAATAGAATCTTCTACAATTTTCTCTATCCCCTTAGAATTCTGAAGATTGTCAGTGTCTAAGCATAGGCCGTATTCATTCACTGTGCTGAGCACTCAGAATGCACCTGACTTTCTGTAGATTGGGGACATTTATTGCATCATTTCTTCTTCATTTTTCTGTTATTTTTATTAGAATTTATATTAGACTGTGGTTTTCAACAGGGGCAGTTTTGCTCCCCACAGGGTATTTGACAGTATCTGGAAATAGTTTTGTTGTCATTACTTGGGAGGGCTGCTGGCATCTTGTGGGTAGAGGCCAGGGTTGCTGTTCAACATCCACAATGTATAGGAAAACCCTCCACAAGAAATCATCTAGCCTCAACTGTCAGCAGTGCCAGGGTTGAGAAACCCTGAACCAGATGTCGGTCCTCTGGTCCTGATTTCCCTCTGCTCTGTTGCATCAGAACTTGTCACCATCACCATCTGTTTCGTTCATTTATCTGTTTGTTTGCTGTCTATCACTCCCCAACGAGAGTGTGAGCTGTCTGAGAGCAAGTATCTCATCTGTCTTGGTAAACCACCTATTTTCAGTGCCTAATCCACTTCCAGATTTGGGGTCTTCCCCAAATCTCTGCAGAATACATGTTCTAAATGGAGAATGATTTCCATGTCTCCTAACTTTATTCTCTTTGTTTATCACTTTAAGTTGCAGGGAAGTTCCCAGATTGTACGTTTCAGGTTATTGAATCAGATCTTTCCGTGTGTATTCTACTGTTTAGCCTTTCCATTTACATTTTTTAATATAATCATACATTGGTTTTTAATTTCTAGAACTTTTTCTTGTGTCCTGGTTCTTTTTCATAATTGTGGTTTTATGGGTTCTCTACCCCTTCAGATACACCTGAGGATAACTTTTAGAATTTTTTCAAATTCACTCTTTTGTTCCCAGAGTTCTTTTTCTCCTGAACTATTCTGTTTGTTTACACTGACCCTTCTCTTTCATGCTGTTGGTCTCTCTCAACGATCTTGGCTGTGGGTTCATAGTCCAGAGTGGGTAACTGGGTCTCATAGTGTAGCCAGCAAGCCTGGGTTTCCTCTTTATGCAGGGGCCTGCTCCCCACCTGCCTGTCAGGGGCCTGCCCGAGAGGCTGCGTAAGTAGATGGGGTGACAGCAGGCAGATTTCACTTGAAGCCCCTGAGCACCATATACAATTTTGAGCTACAAAGTCTCACCAAATGCCAAAATTGGCAAGATTTTATTCTGGTTGGAAGGTGAATCTGGCCTGTTCCTCTGATGGGTGGAGCTGCCTTCCACATCTGTGTCTGCCATGGCGGGTCAGTTACTCCAGGTCCGCTGGTCTCGCAGTCCCTCCCCAGGCAGAAGCTCGCTTCTGCGGCACGGATGTTCTTTAGCTTGAGGTCAAATGCTGCTGCTGCTCATGTAACAGGTGGAGAAATGAGGCTGAGACTCTTGAAATTCTGAAGTCACTCATTTGCTCAGCAGCAGTGCATGAGGGTGTTCGCATGCCCACCAATACTCACCATTACCCTCGGAGTTTTCTGTGAATCTGGTGGGTGTACACTGGTATCTCTTTGTTGGCTTCATGTGTGTTTCTTTCATTAATAATGGTTTGCACAGTTCTTTGTAATGTTAGTTTGTGTGTGTGTGTGTGAATTGGCTATTTATATCCTTTCCTTTTTTCCCCATATTGAATTTCCTACCTTTTTTATTGATTTGCAGGAATTTATTGTACACCTCAAATATTAGATCCTTGTCAGTTTTTGGTGTTGCAGGCATCCTCTGTCATTTGTCCATTAACCTTATTTATGGTGTCAACAAATGAACAGGATTTTGAGTAAATTTAATCCACTGATTTTATGCTTTTTTTTTTTTTCTTTTTGGTGTCAACAAATGAACAGGATTTGAGTAAATTTAATCCACTGATTTTATGCTTTTGAGATATTAAGAGGTATCCCCCTATTCCAGCTTCACAGAAACATTTTCACATTTTCCACCGTCAGGGTAACTTCCACATTTAGGCTGATTCATCTGGAGTCCACCTTTGTGAATGGTGTAAATTGGGACCCGTTTTAATTTTTTTCCACGTGGTGACCCAGTCCTATTTCCCCCTATTACTTGTAGTTCCCTCTTTATCATTTAAGAAGTTGCTGTATATACACATGGTCTCTCACGGTACCCCTTTCCACTCCGTTGGTTTATTGGTCTGTTCTTGGACAGACTGTATCGTTACGGCTTTGTAGTGTGCCTGCATTTGTTCGTTAGGGCTGTGTAACGAAGCACCGCAGGCTGGGCGGGTTCGACAGCATCCCTGTGTGTACCTGCTTGTCCCTGTGTGTGTCCTAATTTACTTTTTAACACCAGCCCTATTGGGTTAGAGCCAAGCCTAATGACCTCATTTTAAGTTAATTACCTCTTTAAAGAGGAATCTATGTTTATCTCCTAGTCACATTCTGCAATACTGTGGGTTAGGACTCCAACGTGAATTTTCAGGGACACAGTTCCGCCCCTCACAATGCCTAGAGATCTCATATAGCAGTTTGCTTCTCCTTGCTCTTCTTTTTCAATATTGCCTTGGGTCTTTATTTTTCCATAAATATTTTACAATAAATTGGTTCAATTCCTTTATTATTATTATTTTTTATTATCCTCACCCGAGGACATTTTTCCATTTTTTGTTCAGATAGAGCGGGAGGGGGAGAGAGGAAGAGAGAGAGAGAGAAACATCGATGTGAAGGGACACATCGAGTGGCTGCCACCCGCACGACCAACCAGGGCAGGGGACAAACTGCAACCGAGGTACGTGCCCTTAGCAGGAACCGAACCCGGGTCTCTCTGTACCGCAGGCCGACTCTCCAACTGCTGAGCCAAACCGGCCAGGGCTGGTTCAATTCCTTTAAAAAGTTCAATTGGGGTGTTTGTTTAGGTTGCACTGAATTTATAAATTAATTTGAAAAAAGCTGACACTTTTAAAATGTTAATTCAAACCCAACAAGACCATGGAATATTTTAAAAGTTATTTTGGTTGCCCAGATGGTTGCAAGGTATGCAGTGTTAAGAGCAGGTATCATAGTTTCATGCTCTGGACTTTCTTGTCCTCGGGCTCGATCCTCTCTGCCACTCTGACTCGGCAGGAAGAAGGTGAACTATAAGAAAGCAAACTATTTTAACTGTGAAAGGTGATCCAAAGAAAAATTATTTCAAGACCAAGTTGGTTGCAGCAACATTCATTAGCCTCCTTCAGGATGAAAGCAGGTGTCTGGGTGACATTCCAAGGTTACTAGCACTTGTCAGTCCAACAACTTGCAGACTGTACCTGATGGGGAGTCTTTGGGGTTGGCATCAAAGAAGAACAGATGTAAAAATGGCCCTGATGGATGTTCTGAGGTTGTTTGATCTAAATCCAGAGAAAATAGCAGCTATCACAGCAGATGGAGTACCTGCTATGACTAGGAGGATGCATGGTATGGAGGGAAAAGAATTAAAGCCAGAAAACCTTGAAGAAGAAATAAATAAAGTTTATTTTATTATTTTTTATTATTTTTTATTTTTTATCCTCACCCGAGGACATTTTTCCATTTTTTGTACAGACAGAGTGGGAGGGAGAGAGAGGAAGAGAGAGAGAGGGAAACATCGACGTGAAAGGGACACATCGAGTGGCTGCCACCCGCACGACCAACCAGGGCCGGGGAAAAACTGCAACCGAGGTACATGCCCTTAGCGGGAACCGAACCCGGGTCTCTCTGGACCGCAGGCGGACGCTCTAACCGCTGAGCCAAACCGGCCAGGGCTAAAGTTTATTTTTATATTCTTTGTAAAATATGTTTTTATTGACTTTAGAGAGAGAAACATGGATGTGAGAGAGAAATATCGATTGGTTGCCTCCCGTACATACCCCAACCAGGGATCGAACCCTGGGTATGTGCCCGACCAGGAATCAAACTGGTCACCTTTTGGTGCGTGGGACAACACTCAACCAATCGAGCCACACCAGCCAGGGCTGATCTTTTTTGTGCTATAATAACAGTTTCAATTTTGTTCTCAGAGACCTTTGAATTCTTTGCTAAGCTATTTCCTGGCTACATTACATTTCTGGTTACCATTGTGAATGATAATTTACTTTCTATACCATTTGCTAGCTAATTATTACTAGAAATGCCATTGATTATTATAAATTGATTTTGTATTTGGCAGCCTTATTAAACTTTTAATAGTTTGCCTATTTTTAATTTTTCTAGATAGCCTATTACCTGTAGATACTGGTAGTTTTATCTGTTTTTCATTCTTTATATGTTTTGTTTTTCTTACAGCATAGCCTAGAATAGCTAGTACTGTGTAACAGTATATTGGATAGTATGAACCTTGTTTTGTTTTTAGTATTAGTTATCTATTGCTGTATAACAAATCATCTCAAAACTTAGCAGCTTTATTATCTTACACAGTTTCCATGGGTCAAGAATTTACCGTTAGCGTAGCTTAGTGGTTCTGACTGAGGTCTCTCCTGAGGTTGAGATCAGGATGTCATCTGGGGCTGTGGTCATCTGAAGGCTTGACTAAGGCTGCAGGACCTGCTTCCAAGGTGGCTCTTGGCAGGAGACCTCAGATTCTCTCCATGTAGACCTCTCTATAGCTTGAGTGTCTTCAAGACATGGCAGGTGGCTGCCCTCAAAGAGAGCGATCCAGGAGAGGGTGATCTACAACAGCAAGACGGACGCCTCAGTGTCCTCTGTCCCTAGTCTTGGGATCCACACTCCGGCATTTACACAGCACTTTATTGGCCACATGGGCCAGTCCTATAGTATGAGAGGGGATTGCATGAAGTGTGACTGTCAGGAGGCAGGAGTCATCTGGAGGCCATTTTGGGGGTCTGACAGGTACACCAGCCCTAAAGAGAATGCTTCTAAATGTTTCTGTTAAGAATAAAGTGTGTTGTAAATTTTGGATATGTGGCCTTCATCCATTTAATTAAGGTCCCTTCTATTCCTGTTTTGTTGAGAGATTTTGCTTATTAATAATTTTTAAAAAATGAAGACAGTAAGAGGTGGGTGGGGTAGCAGCCTCACAAACAAATTATGTATGACAAGCCTGCAGGGACAAAACCAGCTTTGGGTCTCCCCCACCTTCTGTGATAAGCAAGAAGCAGTGAGCCAACACAGGCCCTTTGTGGCTGAAGAACTCTGAGAAACAGCATTTTCTGCCTTGAGAATTGTCACAGCCGTTCTTTCTCTTCTTTTTTCTTGCAGTGCCCAAGACAAAGATTTTGGCTACTGGAGGGGCATCTCACAACAGAGACATATTACAAGTAAGTGCTGGTAGGACCTCTTCCATGTCTGTTACTTCTGAGAGCCAGACACTCAGCGGTAGGACTGCCTCTGTTCCCACTGCCTCTCTCCCAGGAAGCCAGGTCTGCCTTCCAGCTCACACTGTGAGCAGGTTGTCTTAGACTCAGGTGAAATCCACTCTCTGATGTCAGCGCTGGCCCCCAGAGTCAAACCTAACATCACAAGCCAGCGTTCTTGCCTTCCTAAAACTTTCTGCCTTCCAATGTAAAGATCTCTGATTTCTCACCCATTCCTCTTGTAATACAGTTGCCAGACTTGGTCATTGTCTTTCTCATTCTCCATTATGCTAGAAATACATGACTAAAATTGGAATCAACCTGCAAATCTGACAATCAGGCTGTTATACCTTGGGGCTGTCAGGGTCTTATTGGACACCGAGTATTTTGGGATGTAGCCTGAGGCTGCCCTGGCTGTTCGAATAACTACATCAACTCTTGACTTGTATATCCGTCTTAGGTAAGATTTTCTAGAAGTAGAGTCTGAAATGGGCATTTTCTATAAGTGATGTGTTGAGAGGGTTCTCCAGGGAGAAGGGGGATGAGAGCTGCAGGCAGGGCAGGGGAAGGGCAAGCAAGGATGTGGTTTTGGCTGGAGTCGGCTTCGGCTTCATCCTGTGAGGAGATCTGGAACATGAACTCAACTAGACATGTTTCCACCTTAGGGTGAGGGGCCAATTGGCCACCCAGGGAGAGGTGAAAATAACCTCCTATGAGAGGCAGCCTCTGTTTAGTTGAGAGTAGTTCTTTTTTTGTTTTGTTTTGTTTTGTTTTGTTTTGTTTTATCCTCACCCGAGGACATTTTTCCATTTTTTTGTTCAGGTAGAGTGGGAGGGAGAGAGAGGAACAGAGAGAGAGAGAAACATCGACGTGAAAGGAACACATCGAGTGGCTGCCACCCGCACGACCCACCAGGGCCGGGGACAAACTGCAACCGAGGTACGCGCCCTTAGCGGGAACCGAACCCGAGTCTCTCTGGACCGCAGGCCGATGTTCTGACCGCTGAGCCAAACCGGCCAGGGCGAGAGTAGTTCTTTTAAGGAGGGGCAGCTGTGAGCCATTAGCAGCCAATACTCATAGCATCTGGGGAAGGATGCACAGTGGTCCAGTCAGGGAATCCAGATGGGGCATCATTGGCATCTATTACAATATCTCTGGTCCTCTAAGATGCCCAACTCTTTTCCAGGTGAGCTCCTCTTAGCACATGTTCTCCATTCTAAATGTATGCAATTTATTTTGGGGGCCTAAATGGAAAACTTTATCTTTATCTCTATAAAATATGCCATTGTTAATTGGGTTTGGGCTTGTTAATATTAGTCTAATACCCAGCTGTCTCCACTTGACCATTTGCTAAGCATACTTCCTAATTCTTCCTCTTTGTGTTTGATAAAATGGCTAAACAGTGCAGGGACAACCTGGAGAACTTTGGTCCTCCACTAGAGACTTCCTGCAGGTCATCCTGGCCCTTTTGTCACCAGGGCACACAGCCAAGTATACTTTCTTTAAGATAATAGAGGTGGCAGGGGAGGCATCAGAAGACGTATGAGGAAAGAGAGTGGAAGATGTGTCCCTGTTCCCTCTGAGGAACGGCTCACACAGTAAGAACCTCTGTCCTTCCCAGGTGCTTGCGGATGTGTTTGGTGCCCCCGTATACGTCATAGACACCGCCAACTCAGCTTGCGTGGGCTCTGCTTACCGAGCTTTCCACGGTGGGTTGATGGATGGGGAAAGACGCCTCTGGAAGAGGTTGGGCACTGGCTGGGCTGAGGAGGGTGGAAAGGGAAGATTGGGATGTACCCAGACCTTAGGGACATTGGAGTCTTGTGGGCTGTAGCTTCACTCTTCTCCCTCCCAACAGGCAAGAACCAACCTCAATTTTCTGTTCATTTATTCGCTACTTAAAATGGGGAAAGAGAGGCAGAGTCCCAACTGAGTGAGGCCTGGTCAGAGTCACACTCAGCACAGGGACATTGGGGAAGGACATGGGGCATGCTGAGGACACACAGGCTTGGATGTGGACAGCTAGTAGGCAGGAGAGGTGGATGAAGTCCAGAGCCACCTTTTCAACAAGAGCAAGAGGTTGAGACAAGGGTGAAGGCTTCAGAGCCAAGCACTTCAGGACCCTGGACAGCGCCACAGGCCCCTTTGCTCTCCTGAAGGCCTTGCTGGAACTCCTGGTAGTAAAGGAATCTCCCCACTTAGGAAAGTTCTGGCCCGAGCCGCCTGTGGCCACGAGGGTGTTTTTCCTTCTATTTGGTCAGTTTTCTCTGCCTTTGGCCTGCTCAGGCTCGTCTTCCTGCTGCCCGTGTAACTTAAGGGCTTTGTCTTTAACCTCTAGAGCAGCGGTTCTAACCTGTGGGTCGCGACCCCTTTGGGGGTCGAATGACCCTTTCACAGGGGTCACCTAAGACATAACAGTAGCAAAATTACAGTTATGAAGTAGCAACAAAAATAATTTTATGGTTGGGGGTCACCACAACATGAGGAACTGTATTAAAGGGTCGCGGCGTTAGGAAGGCTGAAAACCACTGCTCTAGAGGTTCCGTTCTTCACATTTACTTTTTTAAATACACCTTTTAAAACATATATTTTGTACCAACATTGAGAATTAATTTGGGACCATATCCTTCTCTTAATAATTTACCTCTTTTTATTCCCCTCCGTCCACACCCCATCCATCGACACTTCACGCCACCTCCTAGAGCGTGATCATTGGGCAATTTATTTCCAGATTGTTACGTTTTTAGTTAAAATTTACATCATATTGAGTTTTACTTGCACTTACCTATGAGTTTTTCTTTCTTTTTATTTTTTAACACTGCAGTTTCTTTCTCCTTCAAGTCCATGCTGGTTTTGTTGCGATATACAATCTAAACATGTTTTTAAGAGGGATTTCAGTAGGCGATAATTTTCTGGGGCCTCACATGCCCAGCAAGAGCTTTGTTTTGTCCTCCCAAAGAATGTGACCTTGGCTGGGCAGAGGACTCCAAGTTCAGAATACTTTCCTTCAGAACGTGGTAAACACTTGCAAAACCTTCCAGCCTTCAGTGTTACCCATGGGAAGTGTGGGATCCACTTCCTACTCCTCCTTCTGCCAAAGCAGGGAAACGACTCCTCTGTAGGGAGGGACTTCTGCTTCACTGCACTGCATTTCTTTTCCATTTCCCTTCCTGTGCTGCTTCAGTTGCCAGAGGTCACCTGAGTACTGCGCTACTCTGCCCCCAGAGCCCGAGCCCGAGCTGAGCTCTAGCACACCAGTTCCCACCCCGAGGCATCTCAGCCCCTGTATTTAGAGACCTGTTCTCCCCAGCTGGGCTTGGGATGAATTCCACATGCAGCCAGCCTGTGACTGAGGGGAAAGGGAACCAGATCTTTTGATTAGTCTCACCACTGGCCACCTCACTATTCATCCTGTTTGTTCATCCACACAACTTTGAGCTGGGAGCACTCCGGCACCAGGATAAGGAACTGGGCTCACCTCTTCCGTGGCCCCCTTCCCTCCTGGTGCTGTGTTTCCCTGTCAGTCTGATACTAGGCCTTAAATCGCCTAGAAATCCTTCCCTGTTTCTTGTCCACCTGCAGCAGCCTTCCATCTTTTCCAACCATGTCACTCATTTGCTTGATGAGGATTGAGTGCCTCCTGTATGCAGGCAGTGTGTGAGGCCCCGGGGATCTAGTGGAGACCCCGTCCCTGGCTTCACAGAACAAGGCAGAGACCGTCACCAAACCTGTGGCCAGAAACTGAGGGAGGCAGGCGGTGCTTAAGGGTGGAGGATTAGGGAGCCTCCCGAGCCGGTGATGTTCTTAGCTGCAGCTTATCCGAGGAGAAGAGAAACAGAAAAACATTCCATCCAGTGAAAAGGCCTTGAGACAGGAGGAACTGAAAGCCCCCTGGGGTAGCTTGAATGGAGTGAGTGATGGGGAGACGATGGGAGAGACAGAATGTGAGGGAGGAGAGGCAGGCGGCCCTCCCCTTCTGTTAGATGCCTGGACTCAGCCACAGGCTCTGTGACAGGTGCTATCAGTCAGCAAGACAAACGAGGCCCTGCCGAAGAAGTCTGCACTTGAGATTTTTCTTTTCTCTCTTTTTTAATGGTTTTATTGAGGCATGATCGTATGACATAAGAATCACTCAATTCTAAGTGTGCGATTCAGTGATTTTTAGGAAATTTACTGAGTTGTGCAACCATCACCATAATCCTATTTTAGAACATGTTATCACCCCAGAGATAAAATGCTATTTCCGGTTAATGTCCTGATTTGCTACATACACTAACGCGAAATGAGCTTTCCCTCTAGGCCTCGCGGCTGAGACAGGCGTGCCCTTCTCAGAGGTGGTGAAGTTAGCCCCAAGTCCCAGATTAGCGGCCACCCCAAGCCCAGGAGCTTCTCAGGTGAGAAACCATCTGAATTTGCTTGTAGCATTTGCACTGTGAAAACCAGCTGGGTTCTTTTTTTTCCCCAAAAGGTAAGTTTTTCTTTGTCACTCACATTAAAGTTGATGTGCTCAATGAAAGGGGAAATGCTACTTATTTTTTTTTAATTGTCAAGGAACCAGAGCAAAAGAAGCCAGGTTGTCACCTGAGATTCACAGGTGCTGCTGATCTTATAGCCCCAGGGCTCAGGCAGATCGCTGGGCACAGCTTCACTGCTCCGTGTGCCTGGGGGCAGGCCCTTCCATTTCACCAGGTGCAGAGGCCACTGAAAGACTGTCACTTAAGCACTAGGCATGCTGGGTTTCTAGTGCGCGGATCCGAAATCTGGCTCCAGGACACTGCAGTCCCCCAGGCCAGGAAATCCCTGGCGGCAGCCACCGTGGTTACGGGGTAGGTTCCCAGAAAAGCAGACTCTACGATGTTGATTTCATGAGGGGGTGCTCTTGAGATCTAGTCTGTGGAAGGGAAAAGGAGGAGGCAGGGCTGGGCAGAGAGAGGAGGCGAGCTGCAGGCAGTCCTGGTGGAGCCTGTAGCCACCCTACAGGAACTTCTGAAGCTGGGGTGACCCTTTAGAGTTTTACCCAGCTAGGGCACAAGGGCCACCTTTATACCCAGATCCGTCAGTCATTGCATGAAGGCTGCAGGCCATCCCCGGACAAGGTAAGGCAACTCTATGCTGAAGCAGTCTCCAAAGGGGGCTGTCGGCTGAGCGTGGGAGAAGTTCTCCTTTCCTGAAGGGCAGTCTGGGTGGTAGCCACGCAGCCTGGCACCGCTGTCCTGTGTGCAGAAGGTTCTTGCAGCCCAGGAGCAGGGGTGGCGCAGACAGAGAGCTTTATTATTCCCAGTGGTCCACCAGGAGCATGAGCTCCACACTTGTCTCAGTTTTCCTTGGCCCTGGTGTGCCCTGGGTGATGTGGAGTAGGCCCAGATAGATGCTGTGCACTTTGTCTGTCACCACAGAGGGACTCCGAGTGTAGAAACCTCCAACCTTATAAAGGACCAGCAAGCAAACTGCGCAACATTGACCCCCCAAAGGAGACACGTCTTTATTATTGTGGTCAGCAAAAAATGTTTCCCAGAGGGCAACATTCTCTGTCTTTCAAGGCTGCTATGTGAACATCTTTGGAAGGATACTGGGGAACAAAAGCTGTCACCAGACATATAGAAACACCACAGAGAATTGTTCCCAGCATATCTTGGAAGCAGAAGCTCACACACAGGTGTACCCACGATTTTACTATTTCCTGTGTGTGTCCTTCTGTTTAAAAGACAGCTCAGTGCAATAGAAAGATTCTACATTGACACAAAGGGCTTATGGGTTCTAAATTATTCCGCCTCTCTCACTGCCTGGCCTTACCATGAGCAGCACTCTTCATCTCTGAACCTCTGTTTCTTCATCAGTGAAGTGGGGACAACATCTGTCCTGCCAACTTTCAACCTGCCAGTTGTGAGGCTTAAAGAGCATCCTTGACTCTGGTGGCTGTATTATATAACAGGAAGTCTGAAGGTCCTTGCCAGAGTTGGCTCAGTGGTTCAACAGGGCTGGGGACAAACCACAGCTGAGGTACGTGCCCTTTACCAGAATTGAACCCACGACTCATTCGTCCATGGGCCAGTGCTCTAACCGCTGAACCGTAGTGCCCAAACTACTAGGGCACTAGTAGTCTCATGTTTTTTAATAAAAGGTTAAAAAAAAAAAATGATAACTTTTTTTTCTTTATTGATTTTAGAGAGAGGAAGGGAGAGAGAGAGAAACATAGATGAGAGGGAACATCGATTGGCCGCCTCCTGCATGCCCCTCACTGAGGCTCAGACCTACAACCTGGGCACGTGCCCTGACCGGGAATCCAACTGGTGACCTCTTGGTGCATGGGTCGACACTCAACCACTGAGCCACACCGGCTGGGCATAAATGACAACTTTTAATAATATTTTGTTTAATCCAATATGTCCCAAATATTGTCATTTCAACATGTAATCATTAAGAAAAAGTGCTAATGTGATATTTTGCTTCTTTCTTGTCTGGAGCTTTTGAAATCTGCTGTGTACTTAGAGCGCTAGTTACATCTCAAGTGCTCAGAGGCACATATGGCTTGTGGCTACTGTGTTGGATCCTGCAGCTCTAGACGTGTTCCAGATGGTCGCAGGATGTCTGCAGCTGCTCCAGACATCGCGGCCCCCGACAGCTGCATTCATCGGGCAGAGTCTCTCCTCACACACTGCTTAAGACATACTGGTCTGTTTCCCTCAACTCCCCCAGCAGACTACCATTTGGTCATATGGTCAGCCTTGGTTGTAAGCAAGGCTGGGGCAGGATTTGGCTCTTTCATCCTCTCTAGAAGGAGGCCAGCAAGGAAGCAGGTAGGTGGGGAAAGCTGCACCTGCTTCGTTACAGGTAGCAGATGCCCAGCGTGTGCACCACTGCTGTCCCTGGCTTGCCCGTGGCCCGTCACCATTAGCTCGTGCGACTCTACCACTAAACCCAAGCGTAACCTCAGAATCCTTCTCAACGCCAGGTTGCTAGCAGGACGAGACTATGATTGTTGGCATGAGTGACCTATTTGCTGACTGGATTCCTCGAGAGCAGGGTGGTTTTCCCTATGGCACCTCCAGCAGTGCTGTGCTCCGGTGGAAATTTAAACAGTAACTGTTTTCTCTGGGCTCAGTGAATGTTGCAATTTCTTTCTTGGAGAGGAAACTAAGGCCTCCTCACTTCTGTGTTCACTGCACCAAGAGGAGGTCCTTATTGCATGGTCAGTTACTAAAGTACTTGACTTTGGAGCGAATTAAGCCAAGTTAAGAAGGAATGGAATCGGTGGGAATAAGTGGTGCTTGTGAGCCCCAAGGAAACTGGGTCCTTGGGTCTTGAGTGTTGCTTGTCCGTAAGACAGCGTACGCTCACCGGGAGCACGCCGTGTCTCAGACAAGGCTTGTAGAGACACAGAGGTCAGCTTAAAGAAACAACGGATGAATGAGGGTGAGAATGTGGGGTTGTATTTCTTCGTGTTCCTTTTTTCCTTGTAGGGTTTTTTGTTTGGGTTTATTATGCAACACACTATATAATTTTGTAGCCCACTTTAAAAATTCTATATCACCACATAAGTGTTTATGTGGCTTCTTGTCATAACTATTTATGTGGCTTCTTGTTCTAAGTATTTACATTATGCACATACATGTTATTTGTATTGATTGCATAATATTCTCCTTGGCTAACAAACCATAATTTACTTGAGCATTTTTCATGTCTTAGAACAGTTGCTTCTAATTTGTCAAGTATTATTATCAACTCTACGTGGGTAAAGAGTTAGCAAAATCTTTTCCTATTCCGTTAACTCTCTAGCTCTGTTTCCTTTGTAAATGGAATGTCTACAGTGTTACTAGGCAACATTGCTTATATAAAAATAGCCTTTAATTGGAAAACTGCATCTGGAGTGGGAAGACCATAAATACCTGTTGGGAAGTCATACTTAAGGCTTTCCTGAGTGCGGTCACTTCTACTGGCATGTCTCTTGCCTAGGGAGTTGTTGTGAGAGAGACCCACGTGGGACATGAGGTTTCAAAGCCAGGGGGGTTCTTGCACCTGTTCAGGGTGCATTTCATCTCCTTGCACCTGAGCTATAACCTCAGGGTCAAGGAAGGGAGAAGGCAGGGAGGCAACGAGACCCTTTTCTGGGCCCTTGTGCGGACTGCTGTATGGCCCACTGTTTGGTCTCCCACTGAAGAGAAGCACCTGCTTCCACCGCCGACAGGTGTGTTTTCCACTGTATCCTCTTGAGAGCCAATGTGGCCTATGGTAGTCTTAGGCGTCTGAGTGGTTCTTGGTGCCTCAGAAGACCTTTGGTGGGCCTGGCACCCTACATTTAGGATTATTTCCCTAGGAGAGCTTTGCAGAAGTAGAATCACTGGGTCAAAGGCTATGGGCATTTTCAAGCTCCTTAATACTGGTATAAAGTCAAGTTGGTGTCCAAAAGGGTTGCACCAGCGACTTCCACCAGCAGTGCAATGAGAGTCACGTCTAGGTCTCTTCACCAGATTTTTTTGTGTGTGTATGTGTAGATTTGATAACTAAAATTGGCTTCTTGTCATAATTTGCCTTTTTAAAGAACCTAATCTACAGGTTTGAGCAGTAGTAGCATTTTTTTCTTCATGAGTTGACGCTTCCTTTCTTTTGCGCAGGAAAAAAATTAAATGGCAAGTAAATGAGATGTAAAATTTTTATTTGTGAATTGCAAAGATGTGGAAGAGGCCCCCTCCTGCTCCCCATTCTAAACTACTCTTTCTGCCCATCCAGGTCTATGCTGCCCTCCTCCCAAGGTACGCGCAGCTTGAGCAAAGAATCCTGTCCCAGCCCCGGAGGCTTCTGGAGTGAGTTCAGCAGCCCCAGGAACCCCGTTGGCCCTGCCTGCCCAGACTCGCTGACCCCACTTGGAGATGTGGCCCTGGACAGCGGGGATCCTCTTCCCTGTTCTGGGTGCCTGCCACCTGACTCCTGAGGTGCTCCAGTCCTGTCCGGGACCACCTGGAAATCTGCCTTAGACCCTCTGCCTGGACATAAATGGGCTACGTGTGCTCCTGTGTCCTTATGCTCAGGGCAGGAAAGCATCTCTTTCCCTGTTTTTATTTCAGGAGGCAGGATAACACTGAGCCAGGGATATCTCCATTAAAGACTGTGACTTTTTCCTTTTCAAGGGAAGAAATAAAGCTAATCCAGGGACCTAAATCAGCAGAATAGGGAGACAAAGCTGTCTCACATACCCTGATCCCAGCCCATCCCCTTTTCCAGTCCTGACTCTGGCCACTTCCCCTCAAACCCTAACCTACAGCCACCCCATCCCACACCCAACCCCCCATCCATCCTCTCCCCAAACCCCGACCCCTCAGCCTAGTCTCTCCCACACCCTGACCCTCCCTGCTGCCGCTTCCCTCCTCATTTCATCTCCCAGCTACCTCCCGGGTTCTCTTCCTCTCCTCCCCGTGCTCACCCCGCCTTCAGGCTCTCATCCTTCACTCAGCATCTGCCCCCTTTCCCTCCTTGATCTCTCCTCCCTCCTCTGCCCACTGGTGTAACTTACCATCTCCCACCCCAGACACCTGATGGGCCTGATGAATATGCTTCAGCTCTGCCCACAGGCTGCCTGACTCCCAGACACAGCAAGGCACTTGGAGTTCATTCTCTGTCTCTCTCTCTCTCTCTCTCTCTCTCTCTCTCTCTCTCTCTGCTGGAAAAAACTGTACCATTAGGAGAATTTCCAAAACTCTTGATTTTGTTGATTCTACCCCTGCAGTGTCATTTACCATGGTCTCTATCCTCTATATTTCCTGTAAATTGCTGCTTGGGTCTAATATAGGGTTTCCCAACCTGAAAAACTAAGTAGCAGTTGAGCAACATTTTTAAGAAACTCAAAGATCCCTGGCCGATTCGGCTCAGTGGTTGGAGCTTCAGCCCGAGGACCAAAGAGGCTCAGGTTCAATTCTGGTCAAGGGAACATACCTCGGTTGCGGTTTGGTCCCTGGCCCTGGTCACAGTCGTGCAGGAGGCAGCCAGTTGATGTGTCTCTCTCACATCGATGTTTCTCTCTCTCTCCCTCGCATTCTATCTGAAGATAAATGAAAAAAATATTCTCTGGTGAGGATTAAAAAAAAGAAAGAAATTCAAAGAAAAAATGTGAACTAAGTGTTTAGTAGCCAACTAAGCTGTCCAAGATCAGGAATAATTTTTTTAAAGTTTTAATCATGCAAGGTTATTTGGTTCAGCAAATAACCCCATAGGATTCTACTAAAAGATAAGCTTTATCCAACTAGGAGGTGATTGGTAGTGAGTATTGAATATCTTAACTTTGGATCTAAGACCAAAATGGAAGTGGGGGTAGGGGTGGAAGAATAGTAACAAATGGTATGTGCTTGACAAGGTAGAAGTAACACCACTAAATAAATGAAAGAGGGAGGAAGAGGACAGTACAAAGAGCTCTCTGTAGCAAAGGCAATATGTGTGAACCAGTATCATTTAAAGTTGACAGACCAAATAGTTGAAGCTTCAGTAAGGAAAAAGGGAGACAAAGCATTATATAAAGGTAATAGTATAGTATAGAGGTACTCACTAGGATAAAAATACACATCTCCCTCAATGCCCAAACAATAATCAATGCGATAGATCACTTAAAGAAACATGCACTAAATGTAACGCCATATACACAGCAGACATAATAAGGACAAGCATATGAGTCAAATTAGTAAATGGAAGGACTTAAAAAAAAAAGTTGAGATTGGCTCACAAACCAATATCTTATTGTCTGTTATTTACAGGAGACTCACCCAAAATAAGTGATCAAGGGAGGCTACACGTAAAGGGATTGGCAACAATATACCAGGCAAATGCAAATTATAAACAGCAAAGATTACAACAATATTGATGTCTGACAAGGTAGAATTCAGGGAAAAAATTAGACATGTCAAAGGAAGTTATCTTAAAAGCCACAATATAGCCCTGGCCAGTTTAGCTCAGTGGTTAGAGCGTCAGCCTGTGGTCCGGAGAGACCCAGGTTCGGTTCCCGCTAAGGGCACGTACCTCGGTTGCAGTTTGTCCCCGGCCCTGGTTGGTTGTGCGGGTGACGGCCACTCGATGTGTCCCTTCACGTCGATGTTTCTCTCTCTCTCTCTCCCTTCCTCTCTCTCCCTCCCACTCTATCTGTACAAAAAATGGAAAAATATCCTCGGGTGAGGATAAAAAAAAAAAAAGCCACAATATACAATGAAGATATACTAGTTATGAATGTTACTGCTTCAATCATTTGATTTGTCAACCTTAAATGATATTCTTTGATTCCCACATATAGGTTGCAACAGAATCTATAAATCATCTGCAATTTCCACAAAATAAGAATAATATAACCCTCTTCAATCACAATGCAATAAAATGATGTTTTATTTTATTTTTTTATTAAAATTTTATTAAAAATTTATTTTGAAAACTCTCACCTGGAGAAGGACTTTCTGTGAAACTACTCTTGGGGCAAAGGAGAACTAGAAGCCAAAATTTCAGAACTTCTAATAAATGGTTGATAATGAAATTTATGGGATAAATTAAAGCAGTAGTAGATAAAATAGAGCTTCAAATACTGTAACATTGATAAAAATAAAAGAACAGAACTTAAATGAATTAAAAATACAACCCAGAAAAGCAAAATAATAGCTGAACAAAAGATGGGACATCTCAATGACTTAATCTGCACAGATGCTAAAAGAATACACAAAACTATCAGTTAGTATAGGCTGGGTTATGCAGCAGCAACATAGGATACCCCAAGTCTCAGTGGTTTACAACAAAGGCTCTCTCTTCCTCACGCTACATGTCTACTGACTGCTTCAGCTACATCTATTGACATAGTGTTTATCAGGAATATTGTTGGTCATCTTGGCAAAGGGACAGAGAGCATTAAAATTTCAGCTATAACTGATATTTTAGTTTCGCTTACATTTCACTGACCAAAGTTAGTCACATGGTCGTGCTTGAGTTCACTACAGCAAGGAAATAAAATTCTTCCATAAGGCAACTAACTGCATATCTATAAAGAGTTACCAGTCCTGTTCTGGCTTGTTTGGCTCAGTGGTTAGAGTGTTGGCCCATAGACCAGAGAGTCCCAGCTTCGGTTCCTGCTAAGTGCATGTACCTCGATTGCAGTTTGTCGCCAGCCCCGGTTGGGGTCGTGTGGGTGACAACCACTCGACGTGTCTTTCTCATGTCAATGTTTCTCTCTTTCTCCCTCTCTATCTGAAGATAAATGCAAAAAGAAAAGTCCTCAGGTGAGGATTAAAAAAAAAAGTTACCAGTCTACAATACACACACTGCTGTGTGCAGGCAATGGAACTATATCACAAGTTACATAGGGGCATTCAGTGGCTTGAAGGAAGTAACCGAGACAAAGAAACAGCCCATCTAGCGTGGCTCAGTTGGTTGTACATCCTCCTGTACACCGAAAGGTCACCAATCTGATTCCTGGTCAGGGCACATGCCCAGGTTTCGGGATTGATCCCCAGCAGGGAGTGTGCAGGAGGCAGCTGTTCAATGTTTCTCTCGCATCATTGTTTCTATCCCTTCCTCTTGCTCTAAAAATCAATAAAAACATTTTTAAAAAGAAAAAAAAAAAACAGAACAGGCAAGTTCTGGTGTCAGTGGAATAAAATGGCTTCACCCAGAGCTGCTTTTCTTCTGAGGTGTGTACACACACACACAACAGGGGACATAAGAAGTCGTGAAGGTCACACATTAACCAGTGAAGAAAACGGGGAAAAATAGAATTAATAAATGAATAGTATTTTGAGTATTTGAAAAAGTCAAAATAGGTAAACTACTAGCTTAACAGGTGAAAGAGAGGAGAAAGCAGTAATATGCAAAATAAAACTAATAGTGAAAAATTAACATTGAACAAAATCTTTAATTTTAAGGACAAATTTTTGTAAAAGAAATAGAAAAGATTGTCAGAGAGCTACCCTATAAAAAAAAAGTAGTAGGTTAAATGGTTTCATGGGAATTCTACTAAACCTTCATAGACCAGTTAATCCCTATGCTGCATAATGTATCCCAGAACACTGGAAAAGAAAAAAGAAACCACTTCTAGATTATTATTTTTTTAAATATTTTTCTTTATTGATTTTAGAGAGAGAGGGAGAGAGAGAAACATCAATGAGAGAGAACATTGATTGGCCGCCTCCTGCATGTCCCCCACTGGGGATTTGGCCCACAACCTGGGCATGTGCCCTGACTGGGAATCGAACTGGCGACCTCTTGGTGCATGGGTTGAACCACACCAGCCGGGCACTTCTAGATTATTTTTATGAAGCAAATATAATATTGATCATCTATATACTAGGTTGCAAAATGCCTCCAATTCTTCACTTATCTCTATCTCTACATATTTTGCCATGGAATTTTGTTGTACCCGCCCTCTCTGACTCGGTTCAGCTCTGTGAGTTTGGTCAGTGGGATTTTCACGAACATTGTAAGCCAGAGCTTGAAAGGCCCTTACGCGCCCTGGCCGGTTTGGCTCAGCGGTTAGAGCATCAGCCTGCGGTCCAGAGAGACCCGGGTTCAGTTCCTGTTAAGGGCATGTACCTCAGTTGCAGTTTGTCCCTGGCTGTGGTTGGGTCGTGTGGGTGGCAACCACTCGATGTGTCCCTTTCACATCGATGTTTCTCTCTCTCTACCTCCCACTCTATCTGAACAAAAAATGGAAAAATGTGCTCAGGTGAGGATAAAGAAAAGAAAGGCCCTTACCCAACTGACATTGTTCTCTGCCTTTTTCATGAAAATTTTGTACCTAAGCTAGCCTAACCAAATCCATCCTGGGTCAACCACAGGGTGACACTGCCACAGACATGTGAGTGGTCCAGATGAGACCAGAAGACCTGCCCAGTCAGGCCCAATGTAAATCACCAGCCCACAGATTAATGAGCTGAATAAATATTATTTTAAGGCATGGAGATTTAAAGTGATTTATTACACAGCAATAGATAACAGATAGAATTTGGTGCCAAAACAAACAAAAAACGAATACATGCAACACTGAAGCTAGGCTATGGATGGAGACAGGAAAAGTGGTGAGAAAATCATTATCGGAGGCTGAGAAAAGGCAAGGAGACAGTATCTGTGGTAACTTGGAAGACAAAGTTTACCTACTGAACAGCTGGGCTTGAGAAAAGAAATTTCTAGGCAGAATGTTGAAATTGTTAGCTAACATTACTCAGAAAAAAAAAACACAGATTTCAAGTAGACTTTAGAGGAAATATAAAGATGCTAGAATGAAAAAAAAAATTTCATATCTTTGTCCCTTTAATCCAATAAAATATTGTCAAATATAAGATATGGCTTTTACAAAAGCAAGGGCTGAAAGATACTTTGCTAAGACCTCTAAAAGAATCAAGGCACCGTCTTACAACCTTCCCAGTTGATTAAAACGACTTTCAAGAATCATAAATTCTTGATCCACAGCATCCTTTTGTACCTGAAGTATCCGGGTCTGAGTCCAGGGAGATCTCAAAACTAATTATGGGTATGGCTTTTGGTGCATAGAGTGGGTTCAAATCAGACACAAAATCCACAGAACATTTTAGAGAGCTATACTAATAAAAGCGACATCGCTCTAGACAAAAGGGACTAAATGCAAAAAGACTCTGGGCCCCCAACTTTCTATGAGCAGGAAGCAGGATAACATTGCTCAAAGGGCATATTTTCCAATGCCCTCTTTAGCAGTGTTCAAGGAGGGCAATGCAAAGTGAAAGATGTGGTGGGTGAAGCCAAGAGCCATGGAGCACACTTTCAGTGGACAGACTCGAATATGTCCTGCAATGATCCCTGCCTCCTGGTATTTGCACCCTCGTGTAATTCCTTCTTCAGTGTGAGCAGGACCTGTAACTTGCGTGTAATAAATAGAACATGGCAAAGGTGATGCTATGTCGCTTCTGTAATTATATTACATAAGACTGTAACTTCCATATTCCTAGCAGATGAGTATTCCCACAGTGGCAGTGGGGATTGTGGGGTTTAAGGCAGAAGCAACCTTACTGTGTCTGAGGACAGGAAGCAGTACAGTGTGTTCTGATTGACAATGCTAAGGTGAGAAAGGAGAAAGGACTAATTCTGTACAGCGTTGTTAGCCATCATAACAGGAAGCCACAGGGGGATTTTAAGCAACGAGTAATGTGATATAAGTCCCACTTTTTAAATTATTACTACTATTGATTTTAGAGAGAGAGAGAGGAAGGGAGAGAAAGAGAGAGAAACATCTATTTGTTTTTCCACTTATCTGTGCCTTCATTGATTGACTGGGGACCAAACTCGAAACCTTGGTGTATTGGGACAACACTCTAACCAACTGATCTACCAGCCAGGCCATGAGTTCCATTTTTAATAGATCGTTTCAGTTGCTGTAAGGAAGATGTCTGATCGCTGGGCAAGAATGGAAACAGATGACCGGTTATGATCCCTTTCAGTTCACTGCTGTTGCAGTGGTTCGGGTGCCAGATGTTGGGTATACAGTTATATGTGGCTGGATTGTGGAAGCCAAGTTGCTGATGGACTGAATATGGGAGGAATCATAAATGACTCGTAAAGTTTTGATTTGAGAAACTGGGTAGTCAGCTATGCCATTGAATTAAACAGGGACAATGGGGAGGAGTGGACTTATGGGGAAAATGAAGAATTCTGCTCCGGCTAGGTTAAGTTTGGGATGACTGACAAGCTGCCAAATAGAGATATCAAGTAGGCAGTTGGATATACAAATTTGGAGTTCCCAGAGACATCAGAGTGGAACACACAGATGTGTTGTCAACTTGGACCACTCTTATTGTGACATCCCACCTGGTGTGGAGAAGAGAGGAACCAGCCAATCTAATCTTTGGCCCATGGATTATAGTTGAAAGCTTCCAGTAGGGAAGGAGGCAGTGATTTATCTTCCTTAGAAAAGACATTTACAGCAGGTCCTCACATAACATCATTTTGTTCAATGTCATTTTGTTAGAATGTTGATAAGAAAAAAAATCGATTCCAAGCACAGGCCACTGTCTGTGTGAAGTTCGCATGTTCTCCCCATGTTTTTGTGGATTTTCTCTGGGTACTCAGGTTTTCTCCTACACCCCAAAGATGTGCACATTTGCATGAATTGGCATGTCTACAGTGTCCCAGTCTGAGTGAGTAAGGAGTGCGTGGTCCTGCAATGGTAAGGTGTCCTGTCCAAGGCCGGTTCCCACCTTGTGCCCTGAGCTGCGGGGATAGGCTCTGGCCACCCATGACCCTGAACCAAAACAAGCAGGGTGGACAATAATTATCTAACTTGTTAATATTAATCTTTCTGAAATGTATGTATAGCTCACATTATTTCAAAGTCTAGTATTAGAAGTGTTTTGGGGGTCTTTATTTAAAAGATTTGGTGATGCGTTTGTGACCAGAAATATACCATAGGAACTTAACTCTTGTGTATATCAATTAGCTTATAGTAAAAGTGGTTTCATTATACCTTGCTTTGCTTTAAATCCCTGCCCAAGAACCTATCTTTGATGTTCAGTGAGGACTTACTGTAGATGTGGAGTTGCTTTCCCTGCTGTGGTGTGTCTATCAGTATAGCCTCTGGTGGGATTACCCAATACCATGCACTGCCAGGTATCCCATGCCACACTGCTCCCTGCTTAGCATACAGTAGTAGTCAGCTCTGCCATAAAAGGCATATATAGCAGATGTGGCAAGAAGAGGCTGTCATTTCAACATAGAATTTTCCAGAACTGGAAGGGATCTTTAGAGACCCAGAAACCTTTCCAAAATTTGGTCCCCGAAGTGTTCCTGGTTCTTCGGAAACTGGAGGTGGTGGACCCTCATTTCAACTTCAAAAAGGTAATTAATGTGTTCTGTATAGTGGGCTTTTACATAAGATTTAGTCTGAATAAGGTTTCAAAGCACAGCGGGAGTCTAACCTCTTCATTTTTTGTATAAGGAAACTGAGGATCAGAGAAGTGAAATAAGTCAGACTTCCAAGCACCGGTTCCCTCCTGGCTGCGCTTGCCCTGCTCCTGCCCTAATAAAGGCTGTGACAAGTCAGAAGAGGGAGGACGATTTCTGTATCCAGGGATCCTGCACCCCTTCCCTGAGTGTGACGGCCTTTCCCTCTTTAGCTGGGAGCCACGTCATGACCCTCTCGAGGTCTGGTTGTGTGATAAGGAGGGCGGAATCTGAGATGGAGTGCAGCCGCCCCCAAGGAGGAACCTGGGGGAGGTGAAGAAGGCAACGAAGCGATTGTAGAGACAAGATCTTCAGCTGCAGGGACTGGAGGCAATTGAGACCAGTTTCAGTGATGCAGACTGAAGCGCTGGGGTGAGTGCCGAGGACCGTTCGGAGTTAGGGGTGGGGGAGTTAAGGGTGGGGAAGCAAGTTGCAAAGGCCCTTTTCCGGCTGCTGCTGCTCTGCGGGCCCCGGCTCCGCGCCCTCCCTCACTTGCATGGGTCCAACTCCAGGATTCCCCAGCTGTGCCTTTGCTTGCGTGGGGGCTATGGTGTAGAAGTGGGGGCCCACCTGTCATTTCAAAGACAGTCTTTTTCTGCCGATTAGTTCGCACGACTCTCTCTTATGGTTCATTGTGACCCTCGTTTCACAGGTGGGTAACCAGGCCTGGAGGGGAAGCCAAACCAGAGTTTGAGGGCTGCCCACCCACTCCGGGGTCGCAGGGCGGCATGCGTTCGGGAGCGTGGGCTCCAGCGTGCTGAGCAAGAATTCCAGGTGCGGTGGCCACGGGGTTCCGTGGTTCCGGGGCACAGTGGTCCAGGACCCAACCCCCTAACCTCTGCAAGCGCGCCCTGCCTAGCGCTTCAGTAGGGTAGTTTCTTAGCCTCCTACCCGAGGGTGCAGGCTGGAGGCGGGGCCTCTTTGTTGTTGTTTCTCTGGGGCCCCGCCCCTAAGGGGGGCGCGGACCACGCGGCCGGAGGGCCCGCCTCCCCTCCCCCTCCCCGCCCAGCTCACCGCCTCTTTGTATCCAACATCCGGGTTTCCCCGCTGGCTCGTCTCCGCGGCCCCGGCTCAGGAGCCATTTTGGACTCGGTTCAGCTCCCCTCCCCCCACCCCTCCCCCCGTTCATGGCCCCTCCGGACTCGGCCCCTGCGCCCGGGGCCCGGGCCCAGCCCCGCCGCGCTATGCCTGAGTCGGGCGCACCCCGGCCCGCGCCCCGCCGCCGCCCCCTGGCCCCCGCGTCGTCCCGGAGCCCGGGCCGCAGCCTGTGCTGCCCGCAGCGGCCCTGAGTCCGGCCCCGCCGCCCGGCCCTTGGAGCCCGCACGCTGCCCCGGGACGGAAGCGTAGGAAGCGCGCGGGGAACGAGACCGAAGGAAGAAGCGGAAAGGAGAGCGCGGTCGCCGCCGGGCCCTGCGCGCCCCGGGAGCGCCGCGCGGCCCTGCCCGCGGGCTCCGGGTGTCCGCGGGGCGGCGCCGCGGAACATGACGGCGCCCTGGGCGGCCCTCGCCCTCCTCTGGGGATCGCTGTGCGCGGGTAAGGACGGGGCGCGGCATGGGGGGTGCAGGGAGGGCGCGCGGGGCGGCCTCGGGCGGCGCACGGTGTTTACCAACAAAGGGCGGGCCCGCGGCCTCCTTGCCGCGCCACCTGCACCCAGTTCGCACCTCCCGGGGCGGGGACTGGGGACGCGCAGGGAGCCCCGCTAGCTGATGTTGGGGGACGATGTCGTTGGTGCAGTGGTTCGCGGAGGCGACCCTACCGTGGGGGCCGGGACCCTGAGTCCCTTGGTCGGGGTCCAGGCTCCGCGGGCGTGGGGAACCTAGGGAGAGTGAGAGGAAAACCGGAGCGTGGAGAATGTGGCCAGTCGGGGGTCACATCCAGTCCAGGGGTGGCGGGATTGTAGGTGCAGCAGCGGCTGTGGGAAGGGCTCCGCGACCCTCAGAGCCACTAGACGTAGCGAAGGGGTTTGCTTTTCACAGCTCCGAGTCTTCTGCACCCCATCCCGCCAGAGTCGGCGTCGTGTTCCGCGCCAGGCGGGCCGCTGGCCCATCTCCCCCGAGGCCACTTTCCCTGCGGCTGGCCCAGGGCGCGAGGTGCAGCCACCCCGCGGGACCGCTTTGTTTTGGGCGCCTGGGAGGGGAGGTGGGGCGCGAAGGAGAACCAACAGGTCCTTGTTCCTTCTGGCCTCCAGGAAGCACGTGGCGGGGGTGGATGGCCCGCGGGGCTGGTTTCGCTTGCGGCGCGTGGTTGAGAGTGTGCGGGTGTATACATGCGGAGTTCTACCGGGGAGGCACTTTTTCCCTTAAGGGCAGAGTCCCGATTTCTCTCTTTTTAGCGTTGCCCGGGCTCGCCCAAATCGGTGTGCGCGCAGGGACCGGCTCGCGCTCTGGTTAGCCCTGGAAAGCGTGAGGAGTCGTGCATTGAACCCCCAAGGAGAAGCCCGGCCGTCCGGGCGGCTGACGCCGGCAGCCGGAGCGCTGGGCTCTGCACGCCTTTGTTCCCAGCCCCCATTACACATGCGGCGCGGGTCCCTAGCCGCCCCCGGTGGCCGCCTCTCGGAGTCTGGGAAACCCGCGAAAGGCGGGGCCGCGTGCAGGGGCGGGGCCGGGATCCCCTCGCCGCCGCCGCTGCGGATCGGGATCTCCGTCCCACTCGCACTCCGTTCTGTCCGTCTCGTTTTCAGATGTTTCTCGTCTTAGCTGTCTATATCGAAGCAAAGGAGTTCTCTTTGCGGGGCTTGGTGCTTCGCGGCCTGAGTTCAGGGACCGGAGGGTAGAGACCTCATGGTACCTGGGCACCCTGGAAGGGAGCCTCTTGGCCCTTTTGGAGCCATTTCCCGTGTGATAGAGGCGAAGTGGTGGTGTTGAACTTGTTTCCTTCTCTGCTCTGATCCTTTTTAGGTGCTGCTCCGAGATGCTTTTTTCCCAAAGTAAAGGAAAGTACTGGTCTGTAGAGGGGAGGATGGCAGCAAGCTGACTTAATAGGCATGCACAGCTCACTGGGCTGTCTCTAGAATCTTCCCGGACATTCCTGGGTGCGCTCTCCTAATTTGTCTCAGTGTGGTCTCACCAGTCCTCACCTTCCTCACAGACTAGGCAGGGCAGGGTGGATCCTACCCCCCCCCCCCAACACACACACTGTATTTCTCTCCTCTTCCCTCTGGTACTCCTACCTGGCTTGGGCAGTACTCTGAAGGGTGGGACAGCTGGAGTTAGACTGAAAAACATGGCCTGTGTTCCTGGGAGGAAGGTGGGGGTCACTGAGTTTTTCTTGTGGTCACACCAACCAGTCTTCCCTCTGGTGGTCACTGTTCTGACCTTTGAGGACCTATGGGAAGAGCTGCCCTGTGCCCAGGTGGATATATCTGTGTCACCCACAGGGGCTCCTGACGTCTATTCCGTGCTTACTGTACTTGGGGTTCAGATTAGGGCTGGTGGGGCTGGATGGAGAGTGTTCTCAGTGGAATGGCAGGAGCCACTGGCTGGGGAGGGGAGTCTGACTCCTGTCTGTCCTATCAGGAAGTACAGGCCGCCCTGGCCAGTTTGGTCCAGCGGTTAGAGCGTCGGCCTGCGGTCCGGAGAGACCCGGGTTCAGTTCCCGCTAAGGGCACGTACTTCGGTTGCAGTTTGTCCCCGGCCCTGGTTGGTCGTGCGGGTGGCAGCCACTCGATGTGTCCCTTCACGTCGATGTTTCTCTCTCTCTCTCCCTTCCTCTCTCTCCCTCCCACTCTATCTGTACAAAAAAATGGAAAAATATCCTCGGGTGAGGAAGTACAGGCCTTGACTCTGCCCTAGCCTGCCCCTCAGGTTGGCTACTCTCTGACCCAAAGATGTTGTCCATTTCCTTGGGAGAGGAGAGAGAGAGAGAGAGAGAGAGAGAGAGAGAGAGAGAATATGAGAATGTGTGTGTGAAGTGATGCTCAAGCCCAGTGAACTGGCAGTTGTCAAGGACACGGACCACAGAGCCGTAGGCCATTAGTGCCCCTCAACAGGGAAGTGTGTTGTCCCCTTCCTGTCCTTGTACCTGTTGGACACTTCGGACTCAGCCCGGTCTTGCTGGCTAGGCTGTCCTTTGGGAGGAGTGGGCACCCTCCTCAGCTGTTAGAGGCTCTTTCGAGGTACATGATGTGAGAAACTAGCACATCTTCCCAGGCCCTATAGCTGGGTGAAAACGAGAGCGGGGACCCGTGGCCTCGGTGGTGCACTACCTTCGGGGTCTTTCTGGACATAGAGATCCCAGTTAGCACCTGGACTTCCTCTGGTACTTCACCTAAGCAACTCCTTTTTAGGGACACCAGTGAAAAGACCCCCAAGCTATTCCATGGTCCTTTGTATCATGGGTTCCCCTGAGAATCTAATGAAAGATGGAGACCCTTTCCCCAGGAAAAGACAAATAAGTGTGTGTGTGTGTATGCGTGCTTGTGTGCGCATGCACACACATATTATACATGCAGCTTGCTGTTTTGCACTGATGCCAGGAAACTTGGGCCCCCTGGGTTGAACTCTGTGAAGTCCTAGCTGCCCTGAAAATACTCACTGTCCCAGTCCTGAGGCACAGCTGGACTTGTTCCCACCTTGCTGCTTTGATGTACCCTGTCCTAGCCACTGGAAGTGATTTCTCCTTTACTTCTGCTTTTTGTTCAGATTCTGTGCAATGTTCAGATTCCAGCCCCAGTCCCTTTCTTCTTCTCTTCCTCTTCTTCCAGGAAGCCCTCCCTGGAGTGCCAATACGTTTGGCTCTCTGTCTGGGAGCTCAGGGTAGTACAACTGGGGACCCTGGGACATCAGGTCAGAGTTTGGATCCACTTGTAGTTTCTGGCCTGTTACCATAGCCTGAGATCTGGGTGTGAGCGGAAGCTGTTCTGGGTAATACTTAAGAGAATGGCACTGGATAGACAGCTCTAAGGCAGGGTCATGGCTGGGTGGGCCTCATTCTAGAAGAGGTTTCTCAATCTTGCCACTGTTGACAGTTTGAAGCCCATAGTTCTTTGGGGTGTGTGTGTGTGTGTGTGTGTGTGTGAGGGGGCTCTGTCTTGTGCATTGTAGGATGTTTAGCAGCATCCCTGGCCTCTACCTCTAATCGTGACAACTGAAAATGTCTCCAGGCATTACCAAATGTTTGGGCAGAGGGAGTGCAAAATCACCCTAGGTGGAGAACCTCTGATCTAGCATGTTCTCATGCTTTTAAAGAGACAGTTTTAGGAGGTGGGGTTCGTGGCTAATGCTGCCCCTACCCCTACCCCATCGAATTCAGGGTGGGAGGTTGGCTTTTCCTCAAGCCAAGGAGATTCATGCCTAGCTAAACTGGCTCAATGTGGGAGAGTTTGGTTGGAAATTAGTGGTTCTGGAGTACCGCTGGCCACCGAGGAGAATCCTGGCGTCCTTGAGTTTTCCCAGAAGTGGTTCGGGTTTCAGGGAGGCGGCGGTTGTGGGTGGCCGGGCAGCCTGCCCGCCCGCACCCGCCCACCCGCCTCTGACCGCCGCCTTGAGGTTTGCACTCTCGCCTCTCCTTCCCACACGCGCAGAATGTCAGGAAGGGCCTGTTGCCGGGGCCTGGGAACCGCTGGAGCGGAGGCTGTCCGTGTGGTCCCAGAGGAGTGCTGGGGGTTGTAGCCTGTCGCGGGCATGCCCTTTCCCCGGAGCGGGCCAGCCGCGTGGCGCCCCGAGGAGCCACAGCAGCTGTGGGCCTGGAGCTCCGAGCCCGGGGACGCCAGGGCAAGGGGGCAGCCTCTCCCCAAAGGTATGGGCACAGGTCTCTACCCTGGCCTCAGGGAGTTGGAGGGCAGGGCCAGGTTTCCCCCTCTGGACCTGGGGAGGGGTGGATAGATTGTCCCTGGCAGGTGCCAGGACTGGAGGCCCTGACCCTAGGGATTGATCTCTAGGGGTGCCTGTTTGTTGGGCTTGGCAGGCTGGCAGCCCCTGTGTTTGTTCTGCACTCCTCCTGTCCTGTTCCTAGCTCTGCTAGGAAGGGCTTTCTGGGGGGCTCCACTCTGATCTCAGCAAGACCCAGCTTGCTGCATTGGGAACTGATTGCCGACTGGGCTCCTGGCGTGGAGGAAGCAGTCTTAAAAGCTTCAGTTTCCAGGTACTCCGCATCCCTGGGGTCTGAAGGGCTTATTTAAAAGGGTTGCTTGCTGGGGTTGAGACTTCCTTGTTCCATCTCTTTTGGGGTCTTTGCAAAGGAACTTGGTTGCCCTCTCAGAATTCTTGATCTTCCATTTCTTCCCTCTCTGTCACCAATTCTTTGCCCCAGCGTAGACACCCACCCCCTCGTTTAGGGCTTCCTTTTTGGTTTGTCTTTGTCCATCAGACTCACAGGCTCATCCCAGCCTGAGAGGTGCTTGTTCCTTGAGGTCCTGGTGGTGCTGCTTCTGGGTTGTTAGGTGGGGATGGGAATGGGGAGGGGAGAGAGGAGATGCTCCTGCCTCTGAGTCTTTGCTTTCTAAGTTTCTCAGTGATTTTTTTTTTTTGCTTAGGACAATGGTGGGTACTTGAAATCAACTGATAATTCATGCTGGGACTGTTTGGGGGTGGGGG